TGGAGCGCACTTCCCCAAGCTACTAAACATATATAAATATGATAAATACAAATAAATGAGACCAAAATTAATTAGATCAAATATGTTGCAGTGCACTGTCACAATAATTGTTTTTTTCGATGATGTTGTTTTCGTAATTGTGGCAGGCCAAAATCGTAATTGCGATTAAAATACGATTAATTGCACAGCCCTAGTTTGAGAAGTTTGACGACCCAGTGATGGGAGAGATGAATGTGGATGTTGGTGGCGGGGTGGGTGAGGTTGATTGGCACTGTTGGTGTTTTGGGATGCCCCTAGCTTTGTGCTAGCTGTGGAGCTCTGTGTGTTTTGTGCTGTCAGGAGAGAAGGGGATAAAGTCAAACAATAGAGCCCAGACAACCACAGCCTACAGCAATGACATCAACATGTTGTTTTGGTTTGTGTGTACATATTATTCATGCATATGTTGTAGGTAAACTCTGTCCTAAAGTGTGTGCAGGCATGTATGTGTTGATGCATTTCTTCTTATATATGTGCATCCTTCTTAATGCTGCCAGTTTCTGCTTTGTTGCATGGTCAAGTGCCAAAGTGACTCAGAAAACATTGCCACTATCCAACTAGACTATCACTGTTGATGTGATAAGGAGGAGGTGTGCCAAGTATAGATTCAACAGGAATACATCCAAAGGCTCTGCAGCTCCAAACACCATGCCTAGACTCAAGGAACCAAAGGAACCACCAAAAAAAAACGACTGCCCAGCTATTTTTCTATTTTGAATTTTGCAGATAGTATACAAAAAATCCATATACTTTACCAATTTATCATAAAAAGTAGTAATACATGCGTGCATCGTCGGACATCAAACTATAACTTTAGGATGATACTGCAAATACACCTTTAACAGAAGGAAACCAATTCATTATGACTTTAGTTTGGTCCTTTTAATGCTAAAGGTGTGCAGCTGCAAGTAGCTTCTTGGACATTGACTTCCTTAACAGCCCCGGCAAAAAATGAAGGTTGTTGTTATTTGGTATGCATTCTACATTGTGTGAGGATGCTTACTGACTTACTTGCACTCCAACTAACTGCTATTTACATTATCCATTAATCTGAGTATTGCTAGGTCTCTTATTGTCAGAAAATAGTGGAACATTTTCATCCCAGTTTCTCCAAGGTCTTTGAGTGTCTTGTTTGTCAGTCCAAAACCTGCGGCTATTCACTTTCATATCGTGAAATTCTGAGAAAAGCAGAAACATCTCATACACAAGAATCCTAAAACAGCATTGAGATTTGACCAGGTTCTTCATCTTCTAACATTACACTTTTAAAGAGCATCTGCAGAAACCAGTCGGTGACCAGAGGGCATTTTTAATTAGAACTGAGATAGTTAATTGTCATCTTTAACAGCAACTTACCCGGAAATTAGATGCTTTTTTGACTTTGTAAGACTGTAATTGGGAATACTAAATTCGCAGCTTTTCCAGTTAACACGTGTCAGATTCTCTCTCCCTCTCTCTCTCATCCTTTCCCTTCTATATAACATTAGATTAATGCTTTCCTTCAGGCTTAACCTAGTCTTTAATGGCCCCATTTTCTTTGAACCTCTGAACTGTGGAGGCTTAATGATATTTCTTTTACTAATCTCTCGCCCCGTCCTGTGCAACGCTTCATTCACAAAGACTTCAGGACCCCTCATGTTGGACGTAGAGGCGATGTAGATGGCGGGTTGGACATGTCGGTCACTGGTTTCCTCTGCGGGCATTAAGGGATAAACTTGACGAGAGCAATGAATAGTGACTTATGAAGACTAGTTAATCTGTTGACACTTAAGCTTGGGCGGATGCAGACGGAGAAGCAAAGAGCTCTATGTGTGATGTAAACATTATTGCAGGAAAGGAACCTATGTACACAAAATATAAACTTTAAGATGCTCTTGGACCTCTATATTATATATATTTTTATTGTGTCTTTGAGTTGTCCATCAATCCATACTTATGTCTCATTCTTGAGAACACAATATCTCAGAAATTGGTCAAAGGTCAAGGTCACTGTGACATAAGAAACAAGTGTGACATACACTGACAATATCATTCAAATATCTAATAGGATAAAATTATGATATTTTGGACATAAATGATGTAAACTGCAACTTTACCAGGCAGTACATGTAGTTACAGATGTATTGCACCTATTTCTAAAGTCAGTGCTTGTATGTTTAAGTTAATTCTCTTTTTTGGATTAAATTATTTAAAAACAACAGTTAAACATGTCATGTTTGACTCGTATGATATTTGATGAAGTATTAAAGTATTTGTCATGCATGCTGCCTGTTCACAGCAGTGTGACGCACTTGTGTATTTCCATGTCCGAGGTTTAAGAGCGGTAAAGCATCTGGTGACACTCAACAAAGCCTGAGAGTCGCAGGACACACAGGCAGGCTACACACAGCGTCACACACACATGAGGGTTATGTCATAAACAGGGCAAATGTTCTACCGGCATGCAGACGCACACATGCTGCACATATATTGTTATATGTGTGGAGAGAATTTGACTTCAATAATTGATGATGAAGCTAGAACTAAGGCTGATATTCTGAAGTTGTGCAACTGGCTTTTGTTCTTTTAAAGTGTTGAAGACATTCATGAAAATTGATTCATACGGTGCACTTTTATAAATAACAACTGTTGGCTCATACATACAATAAGATAACACATATTTAGTAGATAAATATCAACATTTAAAGTGCACATACTGTAACAAAGAAGAAAGAAGAAAGAAGGTACAGTGAATATCCATGTGAAAGTGTACGTGGACTTTTTAAAACATCTTAATTTTATGAAGTTCTTTGATAAAGAATGCTGCTTATAATATATGAAGATAGGCTTTATTCTGTATATTTGAACAGAAACCAGGGGATGTTTTACTTAATGTCTTAACTCCTCTTATTACTGTCCTGGCAAAGTTAAACACAGTAGAAAAGCTGGTGTAAACTTTGAAGTTAATGTCAACTTTTAAAGAGAGCGTGTATGAAGTTTATTTTAAGGGAATGACCGCCTGATCTCGCTCAGTTTATATTCTGTTGTTGCTCGCACGGTTTCTCACCATAAATACGCTGTTTAATTCCTAAAAAGCATCTATTATAAACAAAAGTCACTATGATTCATGCCTACTGTACATACTTTGTAGACTTTAGTGGGAAAAGTAAAAATCATCTTAGAATAAGTGCAGAGCGTTTACTTCAGTGACGCTGTTGAGGTAGGACAGTGTGATGACAGAGAGCTGCTGGCTTTCGACTGGACGGGAGCCAGAGTGTTTTCACAGGTCAACATGAAGGTTGATTCTGACTGACCATGAATAACAAGTCATGAAGAAACTGGTCTGTTCATTCTGTTGATTTACAATATATCTGTGTATGATATTTACATGATGATCAGATTGTTTGGCTTGCTGTCAATTACGTTTGTACTAGATTGTGTTTCTTTTATTCAACATGTCAACAAACAGAAAAGATAGTCACTGTTCTTGATGTTATCGTCCAAAATAACAACACAATCTCATCCACAAGCCGAATAATCCTCATGGTTCAGGCTCTGTGACAGCGTGTGTTGTATCATGACTTTTCTCAAGGCCACAAGAACATAGATACCATCAGTGGTTCAGAGCTATCTAATGTTCTCTGGGGGGTCGAGGGTATGGAAAAAGGAAGGATAAATAGATGTGGCTGATATGAACTCAAGCTTGATGGTTTCTTGTAATCAGGAAATGACCAGTTTCCAGTTAAAGCTGTTTCATCTTCCATTATTTTTGTTTGTGCATGAGCACCCGTAGACACACACATTTCCCTCTCACGGTGGAACTATCTGCTGCTGGATGTCTCGTTCACTCACATTCTGGCTTTGGGTCAGATCCCTCTGTGTTTGTCAGAGTTATTTCTGGCCGAGGGGGAGGCGGGAGTACAATGTTGGATAACCGCTCTTACCGTTTGTCCCTGTCGACTTTTATCCTACAGTAAGTGTCTCTGGACGCGAGGCTAAATTTAGCAGGTCTGGGCTTTTGATAATTCAGGGGAATTTGGGGTTGTTGAGCCTCTGTTATGAAGCAACATATCACAGCTTCTCTCCCGCCTGCTCTCTGCAGCTCAAGTGCTGAGTTTAACAAAAAAGCTCTTTGCAAGGCTGTACGAAGAAAGATGACAAAATGTGCCGAGTGTGCTGTGTGTCATTTCATGTCAAACCAAATGTCCTCGGAGCTAACATGCACCCGTAAAGAAACACAACCTCCCTCTCTCTCTTCTTCTCTTTTTAGCTTTCTCCATCTCTTTGTCTGCCCTCATCTTCTTTCAATCCCCTCTGCACGCTTTCACCTCGTCTCACGCACACGCACATACACACGCACATGCACCCCACATTTGTTATAGAGGCAATAACACGCTTGCATCATCATTTTTTCTTTTGTGCAAAGCCCTATTTCTGTAGTGATGTAAAGGACATCCAAGCAGAATGGAGAGCGCTCTGCTGCTGGTAGCACGGCGACACTCTCACCACTGCTTTACTGGTGGACTCAGATGAAGTCTCTGAGGCAGCTGCGTCGACCACCCGGTGACTGAACTTCCTACCTTTGGGAATCACAGACATTTGGATTTACTAAAGCTGGAATAACAGACCAACGGGATCCGGTCCATGACGGAGGATGACGTGAATTGTCGGCGCAATGTGCTGTGGCTCTGCTGGTTTTCCCACAGATTTACTTTTTGAGATGTTGTGTTGTTTTGAGACACCAATGGATTTATGGTCGCTTTATCGATTTTACAATGGAGCAACTGTGTGTGTGGATTGTGGCTTTGTTCTTTCCCCTGTTACAATGTTTTGTGGATATCTGAGCAATTATGACAGAGTTATATCTGGTAATATTTTTGCGTTTGTATTGGCTTTATTCTCACACGTTCCTGATCGTAACAGCTTCATGCAGATAAGCATGTCTGACATACTCACCTCGTCTCTCTTTCTCTTTTCTCCAGTCTGACAGCAATGCAAGTTACCTACGAGCTGCCCGGGCAGGGAACCTTGAAAAGGTCCTTGACTACCTCAAGACAGGTGTTGAGATTAACATTTGCAATCAGGTATGTCTTTAGATGCTCTTATTAAGAAACCAAAAATCCTATGTGAGCGCTTTAACTTCTCGGGTTTAAAGAAGAATATTATGTTATTATTTTCTGCACTTTTATGCTTGTGAGTGTGTGTATAGCTATCGTTATGTGATTGTATGTAAGTGGGAATGTCTGTTTACTTGCACAATCTTGCTGCTTCTGTATGATACGTCGCTGTACAAATGCATTTTAGTTTAATAGACCCCTCTACACACATAAACATGCTGCTGCATCAGCTGCTTTTCAAATGTGGGGCTCAACTGAGCAGGCGGGATCATCCTCTACATGGAATATTTTATGATTTTTAACCCATCTTTTAAGCACAAGTAAACATTTCCTCACAGTGTATCCTAGTGCATGAGCTACAGACACTCCACTAAATGTGTTTTTTTTCTCAGAATGGTTTGAACGCTCTTCATCTAGCCTCCAAAGAGGGGCATGTTGAGGTAGTCGCTGAGCTGCTGAAGCTGGAAGCTGCTGTGGATGCGGCCACGAAGGTAAGACCAACCCCCCCCCTCACCTAACACATTTTAGCTCATGTTATGGAGGACTGTATTTGTATCCAGCACAGAACATGGCTGCACTCTGGGATCAAACAGCATGCAGCTACAGTACAACTACTAAGTTGGTAGCCTTCGTTTAAGGTTTATCATTGGATCAATATGTAATGGTCCCTAAGGGGCCTGCTACTTGAATGTTAATGTCTGAATTAAGCTAAAATGCCTTCAACAGTAGAATGCATTCATTTGAAATATATCTAATACAGACAAAAGTATACAAATCAGCAAATGTGTAATATTGTATGTACTGTAAAATCTGAATTATAGTATATTTCTTCAGTGGAGGGTCTCCTCCTTTGATGCGTCTGTACTCCGCTGCTAAAAGGAGTTGAAAACATTATTCAGATATGAGCCCAGGAGGCGTTCACTCCCATTTAGTCGTCTGGTTCAGCCCCTCTGCCTCAGGCCACATGCCTAGTGCTGACATAAACAGAGAACACAATGAAATATTCAAGATCAGGGATTAAATCTCCCCAATTAAAGCCTCTCTCTCTATTGTGACCCTGAGGATGCTGAGGGATTAGTTTGAGATTTTGGGAATCCAGTGCCTCCGCCTTTACGCCTATCAATTCACTGTTTTATGTAGCCGATGGAGACAATTAGGACGGGTACATAGATTTAGAAACACAGTGTGTTACATTTAGGCTATGTGGGTTTTTAATACTAAACTGAATTGTATGCCCCTCTATTACTATGCTGCTCTTGTTGTGGCATTGTCCTCAGTTCATTAGCCCTTTAGCAGCTTTATAACAAACGCTGCTCTCGTGACGCGTACCATGTTAAGACTGTCAGAGAGAATCTCTTTCAACTCTTTTTAAAAGCTTTTGGGGCTGAAGAGTGTGTTGTTTTACTGGATTGCAATATATTTGTGGAGCTTTTTCATTGTGTGTGTTCAGAGAATCATGGTGCATTCTGGGTTATGATTTCTACAGTGAATAGAGTGCTCAGGTCTTGCAAGTTGTTGGGAGAATGTTATGCTTTTACTATTTAACCAATAGCATCACCTTTGCCTACACTTAAAGGGTGTGAAAAGATGACTTAGATTGCCTAGTACAGGAAGATTATTCCAATCAAAGGAACTTTAAACCTTAAGATTTTCTTGATTATTGACTTAGAGACTCAAGCATTGCAGAAGAATAAAGCTGTTTCAATTGTTTCAATTGATTATAACAGGAGATAATAAACTCATAGTATAAAGTTGTACTAAGAAAAGTCTTAAATCTCAGTAAAGTACAAGCGCTTTTCTTTAGCTACAGTTTAACAGTCTTTTAAGTGTCTTTTAATCCACCTTGTGCCTGAACAGATATGGTTTCCTTGCTACAGTTTACAGTGCATGTGACAGGTGATCCCTATTGAACAACAACACTTAATAACAGAGCCCAGTATATGCTGAGGGTTGAACCTGCCTTAACAAGGTTCAGTACTTGTTCATAAAATGCCTCCTGTAGTTATATTTATGGCAGCGGCTTGGCGAGAGCTCATTTATGTGCAGGACGCGGGGCATCGGAAGTGACACATTGTTGGCAGAGCAGGGAGATGCCAGAGCTGGAACACCAACGATACAAAAGTCTGCTCAGGGGCGTGAGGGGATTCATGGGGCACTTAGATACTGAAATGAATACATACAGACTATAGCGGTAAACAGTGACGCACGCTAGCAATATGATTGGACAGGTGCGGCAGAGCTTAACACACATTCCTGTGGTTGTTCCCTGTTATCCAGAAAGGAAACACTGCTCTGCACATAGCTTCGCTTGCCGGACAAACGGAAGTCGTCAAAGAGCTGGTCACAAATGGAGCCAATGTCAACTCACAATCTCAGGTAGGACACACACACACACACACACACACACACACACACACACACACACACACACACACACACACACACACACACACACAATGTCAAAGTCAAAGTGACAGCAAGGTCCTGTTGGTCTGAAATAACCTGAATGTAACTACAGCGCTGCGATGCATACACTTGTTTGAGTGATACTGTATCATGGAGTCACTGACGCTGAGGGGAATCACTCAGTGGAAAGATCCTCTCTGAAACAATCTGGCATCACGCCAACTAGGCCTCTCAGGAAACTGATGTCCTTGCATTTTACATTTAACTCTCTCAGATCAAAGTGAGAGGATAGATTTCAAGCACCTCCTTTCTCTCTGGTCTTATCAAACCACGAAACAGCCAATAGAGATGTAACAGCAACTTGGGCTGCAACATAAGATTATTTTCATTTTCGTTTAATGTATGTTTTGTAAAGATGACTTGTTTGGTCTTTAAAATGTAAGAAAATAGTGAAAATGTCCTCAAGGTGATGATGTTCCTAAATGTCTTGTTTGGAAAGTCAAAACCCAAGCATATTCAGTTTGATATCATATAAAACAGAGAAAAACATAAGCGATGTATTTTTAACAGCATAATTGGTCCTTTTTACACTTAATTGAATATCACAATAGGTGGATCATTTCCCTGTCTATTGACAAAATGATACAATTGTCAATAAGATATATTTTTTTCCAATGTGGAAAAATACACCCAACATCTGAATTTACAACAAAAAAATGTATCCATTTGTAGTATGAATAGCAGCAAAGTGAAATGTAAGCCTGTTTGTAAATGTGCGTTGTGTCCATGTGTTCTGCAGAATGGCTTCACTCCCCTGTACATGGCCGCCCAGGAGAATCACCTGGAGGTGGTTCGCTTCCTTCTGGAGAACAGCGCCAGCCAGAGTATGGCCACTGAGGTACTGTACAAGTGTGTTATTGTGTGTACATTTGTAAGTCTTGTGTCCACCTCACTACGGGTACAGTATGTCTCCATGCATTCTCTTCGGTCATGTGTGGTCTTTACATCTGTTGTACTAACCACCTCCATCTCCTCCTCTCTTCCTCTCTGTTTCCTCCCGTTTCTCCTTCACTGTCCTGTCTCTGTGTCCTTTCTGTCTCACATTCTCTCTCTGTCTGCCTCTCTGTCTTCACACTGTCCTCTTCTGCCTGTCCCTTCTCCTCCTCCCCTCCTCCCTCCTCATCTCCTCATGAGGGACTAGCAGAGCTCCATTGATTGGTAGTGTATGGTGGAGGAGGCAGAGTGACCTTGAGTGGGTCACAGATGAGGTCCGCTCCGCTCGCTGCCTCTCCTCCACGTTCTGCTGCTGCCGCTGTTACTGCCCTGATTTACGTTGCTCAGCCTGTGGAACCCATACTTATCAGTCTCCACACGTACACACACACAAAGCACGTGCACATAAGGAAATAAAGCTGATGGAGCTAATGGAATAGCCTGTCTTCAGTCCACTGGTTTACATGTATGGGCTACATGGTTAAATACAAACGCCCTTCAGGACAAGCATTCACATACACATAGAATAGGCTTGCACACACACTGATGTGCACACTATTTATATGAACATGATATATAACTGCATGCACATACACAAACATATCTGCACACACACACACATTGAAGTGTGCAGTGCTGTGGCAGGGAGCTTTTAGCTGAATTATGCATCATAAGAGTATTGTGAGTAGGAGATAGACGTGAGAGTTTTCAGCCCATCATCTCATTATGTAACTTACATTAGGGGCCTGTATGGATAGGAGGCCTGAGAACATACAGAATGTGTACAGTAATCTCTACATCTGTTTGGGCTATTAAGGGATGATTTACTGTCCTAAACTCTCCAAGGAGGTCAGACTGTGTTAATGTTGAACTCCTTAGTTTCTATTTTAAGTTCAAATATGCCCCTAGAGTACCCAAAATAACTTTTTTAAACTGAAACTAAGGATTTGAAAAACTAACCTCCAGTTACAATCATAAAGTCATGTCTCATGTGTTTCTGGAAAAAATAACACACAAAAGAAGGGGCATATTAATGTTGCCCTGTTTTTCCTAATTAGTTTTTCCTATAGTGACACAATTAACCAAATTATCTGTTTCTTGTTCCCAGACTTACCATTTGAACAACATAAAAGATGTGTCTTATATGACACAGGGAAAAGCCTACATATATCCATTATACATTTTTTAAAACGTCTTAAGGTCTCAGAGGTCTTGCATCGCTTTCCTCAATGCCTGCAGCACAATAATAATTCAGCTAAATGTAATATTGGAGCCCCATCTCTCCATGACCCTGCTCCGAACCTGCCCACATCATCCATCCAGTCACACCATCTCATATCAGCTCCGTCACCAGTAATGTGTTCCTGCGCCGCTGCAGCCCATAGTGACTTTTCTCTCTCTCTTTCTCCTCACACGCAGGACGGCTTTACTCCTCTGGCGGTGGCCCTCCAGCAGGGCCATGACCAGGTGGTCTCCCTGCTGCTGGAGAACGATACAAAGGGCAAGGTACGACTCCCTGCCCTGCACATCGCTGCCCGCAAGGATGACACCAAGGCCGCGGCCCTGCTCCTGCAGAACGACCACAACGCAGACGTCGAGTCCAAGGTGAGTGCTGATCAACACCATGATCTTTAGTTGGTGATAGAAAAATGTCACTCGTCACTGGCTTGAGCTTCAATATCAGGATACATGTATTTATTATCCTTGCAAGAATGGAAGTAGTCATCACATACAGAGCATATGGTACAACATGCTCTGTATGTGATGACTACTTCCATTCATGTATCCTGATATTGAAGCTCAAGCCGGTGACGAGGGATATTTTTCTAACAGTTGGTAACGTTTTTTTTTTTTATCTCTTGGTTGTTTAATTGTTTCTTTGATTATTGATCCTTTTGTTTTTTATGTCAGTTTTCCTTTCTTGCTGCTTTTTTCTCTTCTTTCTTGGTTGAATTTGCTTTTAATGTTCTTTTGGCAGAAAGGGGAAAGAAGCAGAAGCACATTTAAGATAAGATAAGATAAGATGGACCTTTATTAGGTGAAATGCAGTTGTTTAAACAGCAACAGGGTCAGATTGAAAAACAGGACAGCACAGATTCACACAAGATTAAAGATTAATACAATTAAAGATACAATTCAATATAAAATTGAAATGATATACAGTTAAGTAACTTTAAAAATAAGAAATGAATTAAATGAACATACATATTTGGGTCATATATACATATTACATTTGTGTATTTAATCACATTATTTAACAAGGAGATCACCAGAATATGTGAATGTACTGTATGATCGTGCTGGAGGAGAATTTTAGTGTCTCAAATCTTGTCACTTCAACATGAAGCACATGTGAAAATAACGGAGCGTCCACACAGCAGCGTTAAAAGAATCTCGGAGGTGGGCGTATCTGAAGCTTGGGGATTTTTTGCGAGCAACGCACCAACAACCAATCACATGAATTTCCCGCCCCCGACATACGAAGCAAAAAAGCCCGAAGTAAACTGGATATAAACTCCCCAAACAGGCGAAAACCTACCACTGTCTCTGCCACCTCCCTCCATGCCTGGCTCCTCCAGTTTGTATCCCGGTAGGTAAATAGGGACTGGTCATAAAGCACCGGGTGATTCCCTACCGCTAATTTCTCCTCCATTTTTTGGAATATGAGGAAATGACCTGCGGTATGTCTCTCCCAGCTTACACGCGGTTTTGATTGGCTAGAGCTTGAACGGTCAGATTTGCATACACGGGATTTGATTGGCTGACGCTTCCACCTCAGCTTCAAAAGTTGAACATTGCTCAACTTTGAATCCTGAAAATCCTGAAAATCTCCGCTCTGCTGCCCACAATGCAGTTTGGCGAAAAGTGAGGCAAAGTGACGTCACCCCATTCAAAGTGAATGGGCAGAAGCGTTTCAAGATTTTTTTAACGCTGCTGTGTGGACGCTCCGTAACCTTTAACTATAACTCATTTTGTGCTGAGCTCCTTCTCCCCTCACTCTGCTCCTCCACTTCTTGTCAGTGGAGGCCTTTTTCTGTTTTTTGCTCACTAACTGCTCATTCTCTCCTCTCTTGGCTCACTCTGTAGATGATGGTGAATAGAACAACAGAGGTACTCCTCTACTCTGTACATTACCTAGTTTCTCCATTGCAGTTCATAAAAACTCTGAAATACCAAACAAACACCTCAGTGCCCCTGAATGGATGCACTCGTGTTTCTGCAGCCCTTTGTCACTTCCTGTTTCCTCATCTTCCTCTACATTTATCATTCATGTAGTTGATATTGCTAGTCATAGAGAAAGTCAGAGTAAAAGCATGTTTTACTAAAACTGATATAGTAGATCCTGAGGCTGGAGGCTTGGGGTTATCAAGGTTTTCTAATGGTTTCATGGAAAATTCATTTTGACTGTTGACAAAATGTCGTCCTAATGTGACCTAACACAGTCTTTCCATGAAACTGATTAACATGATAACTGGTGTTAGCATGAAAAGTGGTTATCATTCATTGAAAAGCAGCGGTTTGTCCATTACCTGCATGGCAACCAAATCCCCATGAAGCTGTAAAGAACCCAGCCTCCTAGCAGCAGGACAGTTAGTCTGATTAGTTTTACTATCCTGTATTGATTTTAGTTGTTCTAATCCTACACCCTTACACCTAAAGCATTGTGCATGGGACCAAAGCAACAAGCTACCTCAACACTGCTTCTATGGTAACACTGGGCTCTTCGTCACACCAAAGTCAAGCGGCCTCCTCCTGAGTGCGCCTGTTTTGGTTGGCATTGTTTCTGGCTTTGGCAGGCGGGCCAGCTATCTGCTATGATTCATCCAAAAATGGCTTTGTTGATCTGAGGCTCCTGCATCGTGGTACACAGATTTGCATAATACTCTGAACGATGGAAGATGGATTTTGGTCCACAGATTGACTATAAGGAACAGGAATTTGTGTGGTTCCTTTTAATGTTTGGGGACCTTTATGTTCTGTTATGCTTGTATAAAATACCTTCTGAAATTATTCAAAGCTGTAGGGTTTCTCATGGGTTCTTTTGGACACCAGATATCAGCAGAGATACACATGTCCGAGCACCTGCTCTCCGGATTATTGCTTATTTGCATTTGGGATGCCGATGATTAGATAGCTTAATGTGAGACTCATTCACTCATTGGACAGATTGTTTCCAGTGTCCTTGTATTGCTTTGACAGCTGTTGGTCGCTAAGCTAGGGGTTTTGCTGGGAAATTACTTTCATTTGGGATGAGTGGACATTAGGTTCATTTGCAGGACACTTTTTACCTAAAAAAGGATCAGGATGTTGTAATTGAGATGAGACAGATTACCGGTAAATATCATCTGTCAAACTGGAGTTATTGATTGACACTCAAGCTTAACTTTACTTTACCGGGTGTAACGGTGTAATGAGTTGTTTTTCAGTATAGTGAAAGCACATAGAAGCTCCTTTGGTGTCTGAAACTGAAACCCCTCTAGTTGTCAGCATACTATTGGCCCCATGTTTGATGCTTCGATAAAAGGACTTTCTCTGCCACTGTGAGAAAAAGTCAAGTGTCCGTGTAACAGTGTGTCCTCGTCTGTGTGTCGACCTTAGGACTGTGTAGGCTGATGTAAAGCTCAAGGTGTCCACTGTTCATGTGTTTTATAGTTTTTAATGTAATGCGTGTGCTTGTCTGTTTCTATGTGTGTCTTGTACGCGTTTTTTCCAATCCTCAGAGTGGTTTCACCCCCCTCCACATCGCGGCTCACTACGGCAACATTAATGTGGCCACGCTCCTGCTGAACAGAGGAGCTGCTGTAGACTTCATGGCTCGGGTGAGTTTATTCTGCCCTCTGCTGTTTGGGAGGGGAATGACCAACATTTAAGGTAAACAAGAGCGGAGGTGTTGATAGTATAATGCTATTTTATGCTGAACACAATAATCATACTCAGCTGTGAAACACTGGTCTGGTTCAGTTCAGGTTTCCATTTATTATTCAGCCTACTGAGATGTATAGGCCAGTTGCAGCACATTGCATGAAACACATTCATTGTGTCTTACCTTGCATATACAGGAATTGATAAAGGCATCTCTGTCTATTTCAGTGGGAGATAATGAGATAAAGAATACTGGATTTTCAAACTGGGCAATTTAAACTAGAAGAAGTAGACATTTTTTATATTTATATTTTCGATTCTGGACTGGAAAATGTGTTAAAGATGGATGTGTTAAATCAACGTCAGATAGACTATGAAAATGGTTCAGGATATTTATATATATAAAGACATTGGTTTAATGAGAAAGACTTGGCTAATTTGTATTTTAAAATGGAATTGATTTTAAAGCTGTTTTATATACTTAATAATGATGCTGAACTACAAGGTGCTTGATTGATTAATTGACTGTATATAATTGTCCGACAGCACCCTTATAGAGGCAAAAACGTTTAGTGAATAAAACATGGCTTGCTAAAAAGGATGTGTGATATTTTTTAATTCGGGTGTCCTCAAAGCTCTGCAGCAGTCTGCAGCGCGCTGTGTGTTTTTTCTCAAACCTACACACTGTAAACAACGCCAACTTAAAAGAGGCAACATTATCATTTAGTTCAAGTAGGCATGGGAAAACAAATCCCCTACTGTCCAGCAGTGTAATTGTTACACAAGCTGATATCCCTCTGTGTTCATAATAGGTGCACCACTCTACAAGGCTGCTGTCTCACTTTAAACAAATGTTTGGATTATATTCAGTAGAGTAGTATTACTTTTCATTTCCTGTGATAGCAACATTGTAATGGAATAATAGGTGCCATTAAAAAAAAATGGCTTCTTTCCTCAGTAGACTAACCAGATTCAGCAGTGGCCCGTAATTTGTTAGCTAGTGTGTCGAAGGGGTGTTAGTGTTTGTGCTGCTTTTTGACACTGATTACCGGTTAGATCAAAAGAGGAATGCTACAGCAGTGGAGATAAATGGTATTATACAACGGAGCTGTTGATAATAAAATACTATATCTTCTAAATTAGGAGATTGCAGGGTTTGTTTAAGAACTAGAAATTAAGCCATTACAACGTGTTATATCTAATAAATTAATTACATTTAATTGTTTACTTTTAAATGGGCGTGCATAATGTTAGCTTTTGTATACACAATAAAGCACTGCTGCTAATTTGCTAAATATTAATACCAATTTTCTCCTTTTTGTTTAGAATGACATCATACCGCTTCATGTGGCTTCAAAAAGAGGCAACAGCAACATGCTCAAGTTGTTGCTGGACAGAGGGTCCAAAATTGATGCAAAGACCAAGGTGAGACTGTGGACACAATTCTTTGTTTTTACCCTGGTTGTATTGGATTTAAAACAAAAAAGGCAGTTCATTAGGCAGACTTTTCGTCAGCATGTTAAATTATGTTTCCTAATGCAATGACATTCCTTTTGTGGAATTCAGTCAACAAGTCACCCAAAAGAGCAATTTTTTAAACCATTTAATATGTCCTATGTTTATTATTTGCTCGTTATGCGAGAACTGCTATCCAGATGCATTTTTAAATGTTTGTTGAAAAAGAAGGGATAGGTTTGTTTTGTCTCCTGTGATTTATTCACTCCTGGCTTTCTTCACTTTCAGGACGGTCTGACACCTCTTCACTGTGGGGCGAGGAGCGGGCACGAGCAGATTGTAGAAATCCTGCTGGACCGAGGAGCGCCTTTCCTGTCCAAGACCAAGGTAGCTAATGGGATGATACATTCAGGAGACTCTGTTTAGCTCAGAATAGGAAAGCAAAAGTCACAAACACATGTTTTTCTTTCACTGATTGACACTTAAAACAGGTTATACATTGTTTATAACGTTGTAAATAGCTTTCCTAAGCACTATTTGGCATCTGTTAACCCATCAGAAGGTCATAGGTGTAGCGTTGTCGCATTGTCTGCATAACATCTGTGCGACCTCTCCACAACAGCCGTCGCCGCTGCGTAGCGATTGAACAGTTTGACCGTGCAGGACGACCAGTGTAACAAACTAGACATTGTTGTAATGACCTCGTTATAACAATGCTCCTGTAACAACTTCCTTCAAAGTCTTTCGGTGCCACGCATGGACCGGCCCTAACTTACTGTGTGTGTCTGTCCATCTGTCTATGTGTCCGTCTGGGTGTGTTGTCTGTCTGTCTCTCTCTTTGTCTCGCTCTCTCTCCCCCCCACCATAGAACGGGTTGTCCCCGCTCCACATGGCCACTCAGGGGGACCACCTGAACTGTGTGCAGCTCCTGCTCCAGCACGACGTGCCGGTGGACGACGTCACCAACGACTACCTGACGGCGCTGCATGTTGCTGCCCACTGTGGTCACTACAAGGTGGCCAAGCTCATCGTGGACAAGAAGGCCAACCCCAACGCCAAAGCTCTGGTAGGGAAAAAGTGGTGGAATCAGAATCAGAATACCTTGATTCGTCCCACAGAGGGGAAATGTACAGGGCTGAGGGGCTGAAAGTGAAAAGTGACACTGTCCTATTTGACAAAAGCATTAAGTAGATATAATGTATTATAGAAGTTGTGAGTAAACAGAGAAAAAACACTTCTATCTTTGACTACAAGGTGTGGATAAAAGGTTTTTCTGGATAAAAACAAAAATATAAGCATTTAGTGCAAAATGTTTTGCTTGGCGAAATGAAGGCTCCTTTTATAAGAATCAAGAATCAAATGAATAGAGAAAAGGTGCACGTGAACTTTACCTCATCATTGCAGATTGTGGTTTTGTGTCATGGAGGTATACCATTGTTGTATCATAAAGGATTTTGCTAAAATGTGCCAGCCAAAAGCCTTTCGCTGCACCAATGTTTGAAAAGGACTGATATACAAAGGGGTACAAAGTATCATCAGATTGATACATGAAGCAGAAAAGAGGAACAATTGTGAAACTGGGAATAATCAATCCTGAAGTGTAGATCTGAAACTGACACAGATGCATAAAAAGGGCAAAATGGAGGCGTGGAGGTACTGAAAGGTTTCTCCGTCACCCTTGTGGTTTGCAGCTGATATTTTCTGTACCACCCATTCATTAGCTGGCAGATAATTTGCTTCCCCTTATCAGCCAAATAAAAGCAGCAACAGATGTCTTGTGACTGTGGAGAAGTTCATCCCTTACAGTACAGTATAAACCTTACACTGAGTTTTTTTTCTTTCCATGTGCAGAATGGCTTCACTCCGCTTCACATTGCCTGCAAGAAGAACAGAGTCAAAGTCATGGAGCTGTTGCTAAAACACGGGGCGTCTATCCAGGCTGTCACTGAGGTACTGAGCACTATTCTCTGATGGAATCTGCACGTGGCACCAGAAAGCTTTTCTTTAAAACTGCATTGACCTTTAACTATGCTGACGTGTGTCATTTTATACCTTGTGACCTGCTTTAATAATGTTTGTCTTTGTTTGAACTTGTTTTTCTGCAGTCTGGCCTGACGCCCATCCATGTGGCAGCCTTTATGGGCCATGAGAACATTGTCCACGCACTGACGAACCACGGAGCCTCCCCCAACACCACCAACGTAGTGAGTGGATCATTTGTAATGCACCGTTACATAAAATGCACAAAGAATGTATTTAATAAAGATTACTTAAGCACTTTGAGGACCAGGAAAAGCACTATATAAATCAAATGTATTATTATTATTATTATTATTATTAATAATACATACTTTTTTTAGTTTTCCTTCCCAATTTACTCAAGCTTACAAAAACGTTTCAGAATTGTTCACATTTTTTTATGCTTGTTTTTTCTCACATGGTGTGTCATCATTACACATAACCTTACATTACTCTTGGGCTTTGTCATACTTAAAGGCCACACAAACATTTGATTTATTTGTATTTCTTCGGCACTCTTACAGGAGGTGTTTGACATACAGTACTCATGTCTTTTATTTCCACTTCGGGAAATCTACTGTTGCATTTATATTTTTGTTCATTGTTAATTTTACTAGATTATATGTATTTTGTGTATAAATCCCACATCATTGCATTTGAAAAGCTCTTACTGACAACTGTTCCTGTGTGTCTTCCAGCGAGGAGAGACATCTCTCCACATGGCAGCGCGGGCGGGTCAGGCAGACGTAGTCCGATACCTGCTGAAGAACGGAGCCAAGGTTGAGACCAAGTCCAAGGTTAGAACACCGAGCTACATTATCAATCACCATTCACCAGTCGGGAAGTAAAAAAACAACAAAATGATAAAATACGGGTCCAAAAGTCACTCTCTCCTTCTGCGCAGGATGACCAGACAGCGTTGCACATCTCCAGTCGGCTGGGGAAGGTCGACATCGTCCAGCAGCTGCTGCAGTGCGGCGCCTCGGCCAACGCTGCCACCACCTCAGGCTACACCCCCCTTCACCTGGCCGCCCGCGAAGGACACCAAGATGTTGCTGCCATGCTGCTGGAGCATGGAGCCATGCTCTGCTCCTCAACTAAGGTCAGTCTGATGGAGGGTCTTATTTTGAGCGCATAAAGTCATGGAGTTTATTTCCAATACACACAGAAATCTCAGGACAAACTGATGTGTGAGCTAGGGGAAAGTGAGAAAGAGGTTGACTGTTTGATTAACTGCCCTTTCTCCAAGGACATAAGCAGGTACTTTTTTAATATAATGTCGTCAATTAAAATGTATTTATTTAAGCTGGAGGACTATAAGAACTTGAGTTGTGCTTCAGGAAAGGATTTATTTTTCTTTTTTCACAAAACGATAATAGAAATGTTGTAATGTAATGAACTGTTGGACTACTGCAGCTCTCTTTTTGTTGTCTCAAAAACCAGAGGGATGCACTTTGTGTGCATGATATGAAAATAAAGAAATCAATCAATTTAAAGACCCAAGCAACACTGAAAAGACCATCATCAATATTTCAGTGCTTTGTATCTCCACTAGTGGGCACCAGTTTACAGCCTCGATGGAGACTGTCTTATGATGTTTATCAGTCAGAGATATAATGTTGTGACAAGAGCATTTATAAGACCAATAACCTGCCTGTAACCAGCCTACAAGACTCGAGCATGTTAGCTTCTGTCACATAGAGAATCAAATGAATGCTGGTGTCTATATTCAGGTCAGTGGTAGTAATCGTGTTGGCCCAGTAAGACAATTCTTCTTTCTTTTTTTTTTACCTCAGGAGGGTTTTTTCTATCAAAACGACCCACTGTGGGGGAATGATGTCAGTTTTTGGTGCCGTTTGTTTCACATGTGACTAATTGCACGGATCAAGGTCAAAGAGAGATTTAGCGTAGACTTCATGGAATCGGTCGGTGCACGTGTGTGATAGTATGTTGCTGGGGGCTGTCTTTCAAGGTGACCCCTGTCAGTGGAACAGATTAATGAACGGTAAACCCCATGGTGCCAATGCGCACGCTTTCTCTTTCCCTCTCTCTCTTTCTCAGGCACACACACACACACATAAATATTTTTACATTTTTATAACATTTAAAACAAATCTGTATCAAGCAACCTGTCTTCTCTCACATTACCCTTTAGTCTATATGAATACTAACCAATCAGACAAACTAGGACATGTGTTTCAGGGCATGGACTAGAAGACCCACATTCCTCAGGAAAATATGACCTAATGTCTTTAAATATCTTCAGATACACACAGGAAGAAGCCCAGATTAGCATAATCACATTATACAGCAGCCATTTATAGATCTGAATACGTGAGGAAAAAGGGGTCTTTGGCTCAGTTTCTCAGTGTATCATATAGCTTGTTGTTATTCATTATTTAATCAAGCACAGATAATACTAATTTATAGGTCAAGTTATAAAAAGGTTGATTTAGTGAATTTTGAATAGCTTTAAAAATCTATTAAAGCTTAATTTAAAATGTAGTGTCATATGTCAGATATGACATCTGACATATGACACTACCTTTTAAAGGGAAAACATACTTGTTTACTAAATGTTAAAACATATTTTCATTTTAGGATGAAACAGTTGTTTTGATTTAACTAAATGAGTTGATATAAACCACATTTGGTCCCTTTAAGTAAAACTAAGTATCTGTTACAGTGCTTGTACACATCCTTCATTTCTGAAGGTCTTAGGTAAAAAAACTATGTGAGAAAATATGTTGTTATGAAGAAGAGCTCAACCCCAGGCCTACAAGGTCCTGACATAAAACAACCCAAACATTGACTTCCTGTTTGAATACTTCCTCTCCATCTTCCCACTGTCTTTCATTTTGTTGATATATTTTATTTTGTGTTCAACAGAAAGGGTTCAGTCCGCTGCATGTGGCAGCAAAGTACGGCAAGATGGAGGTGGCCAGTCTCCTCCTGCAGAAGAGAGCTGCTCCTGATGCTGCTGGAAAGGTGAGGTGTCTTTTAAAAAGAAGAAGAAGAAGCCTGGTGCAAAAACACACTCTAGGGAGTCCATCTTGAACTTGACAATAATTCTTAAGAGTGTTTACAGATGTGTTGCTGTTGGAAAACATGAGCTGTCTGAGCAGGGAGGGGCCTGGCACAGAAATCGCTCCACATATTAGTCAGGAGACACTCCTACACAGAGCAGAGAAAATGAAGGCATCAGGAGTATAAAAAGACTACTAAAGTTACAAACAACCAACAACAATGTGTTCCTGGATAAGAGTAAATAGTTCTCAAGTAATCCCTAAAATATCCTGTGAACATAAGAGAGAAGAGCTACGAATACAGCTAATAGGATTATAAAAGATGTTTGTAGAAAGCTACTTTATATAACAAGTAAAAAACACAAGTAGTGGATCACACAGTTAGCGTTTCCAGTGGGATTGGGGCAACACATGTCCAAAATGGCAGTGACAGTGGCCATTTGTCATCCTGCTAGTCTTGTTTACACTTACCCTTATTCAACACATTTTTAGGAGAGTAAACTGTTGTATTATCCAAGCTGCAACAGGACACAGGGGTGGAGGTGATAAGGGGGGTGGGGGGGTGTTGTGAGGTGGAGCGGCAGGTTTAGGACTGATCCCAGGACAACAGAGCCAACAGATGCTTGTGCTGAGAAAACCTTCTGGGTAGATTTGCTTTTATTCCCCTGGTGATGCACTTATTCCACCTCCACATGCAGCCGTGTCCAAACGCATTTGTAAACACATATATTGACGCACTTTGTTAGCTAGTTGTGTGTGTGTGTGTCTGTGCCACCATCTGAGAGCGTTTAGCATAATGGCAGTCAGGTATGATAATGAAGCTTCCACACTGCTCTGTGGTGTCCTACTATCAGTCCAAAAAAACAGCTAAATCAGACCTTTACTTTGGTTTAAGTTAGTTTTGTTTTGTTGAAAAATGAGAAAAGACAACATAACTTAATTTGATTTCTTCAGGTTTTTACCCAAAATATGATTTAAGTTTCACATCTCTCCAGGTAACATCACAACAGCTCATGAGATTATCAGGATATATTCTGCTCACTCTTTCAGAGTAAATTCAACTTTATTTTAAATATGAATGACATAATAGTGGCTCAGGGAGCTTCCTGTGATATAAGCTGATTACTGTGTGACTGGAATACTTTGGGTGTAGCTCAGAGTGCGCAAACTTGCATACCCATTTTATTTTAGGGTATCAACCCTAATATAAGATGTAACATGCTGCTACTGCTGCTGCTAGCACTCTAATTTTGCTGCTCCTCCTACTAATGCTAACATATGAATAATTGATTCATCACTGTCCCATCAAATCATCTATCTCCAACTTTGGTGCTATTAAAAATGGTTTCACATAACATTTAGGATGAAGATGAACAACACAGCAAAGTCTGTTTACATGTTGTACAGTAGGGTGTACAACTGCATTACTATTATGTGGAAATTATCTTACTTGAGCTAAATAAACCATTAAAAAAAACAATCAAGTGGCTATAGCCAAGACATTATCCCCCTTAGCTTTTTCTTGATCTACTGTAGGTTTCAGCATTATGTTACATTACATTTAGCTGACGCTTCTTATCCAAAGCAATGACCAATTACAGGGACATTCTCCCTGGAGTAACTGAGGGCTAAGTGCCTTACTCAAGGGCACACTAATGGTGGTGTTCCAGGCGGGATTTGAACTCACAACCTTCCGATCTTCAGCCCACCTCACTATCCATTAGACCACCACTACCCTAATGTGTGTTGTTGCTTTAAACTGTTTCCTGCACTAACTTTCTTCCATCAGTTTGATGTCGATCCATGGCATTAACAAACTGGTTCTTTTATTTTACTTTTTCGGCAATCCTCTAACCTGGTGTTTTGCTGCTTGCTTGTGTGTGTGTGTGTGTGTGTGCTTGGGTGTTATAGAGTGGGCTAACTCCTCTGCATGTAGCCGCTCACTACGATAATCAGAGAGTGGCTCTGCTCCTGCTGGATCAGGGAGCTTCCCCACACGCTGCCGCCAAGGTATCCACACAAACACGCATTCACACACATACTACAACTACAAATAATCGACCTGGCTTTTACTCTCAGTGCCGTCTCACACCATTGAAAATCTTGTGTATGTAATGTATGAACATGTAATAGTGACCCTTTTGCTCCCATTTCCTCTTGTCCATTCTTTGAGTGAATATGCAGCTTTTCCTTTGAGCTCAGCAAAGTCTTTGAAATCACTCGACCAGCCAAAATGTAGCTCACACTGTCAGCATATTGGCACTGGTGGTTTGCTATATTTTCCTATTTCTTGTAAAACAGCACTGGAGGGCACATGTGAAAGGACTGTTTATGTGTTAAACATGTCGTAAGTTACTCAACAGTCCTCCACTACTACAAAACCACCCACTCTGTGAAGTCCTTTCCAGAGCTGTACATTTTGTGTGTTCCCAATAAAAAGCTCTCATAAGAAACACTTCAGTTGCTCTTGTTGAAATGTCCGACAGACATTTCACACATGGCCGTCGACACATGGTGGAGTTGTGGTTAGTCTCCTGCTTTGCTTTTGTCGTCTGTCAAAACCACAGAGCAAGTATGAGCAAAATGGCAGAACCACTAACCAAAATATGGCAGGAAATGCCTGTTTTCAGCTGTCAACTAACATTTAATGTGCCCCGCTAGCGGAGACAAAAGCTTGTGAAGCTAATTTATACGTGCTCTCCATGTTCATTTTGTCCCTAGCTCTTTTTCCCGCTAGCTCTATTTATTCCTTTCTCCTTCCCACACTCTTAGTCATTTCTCTTTGCTTCCCTTTCTCTTAGTTTCTACCTCTATAAATTGTGTTTAATTTGGCTGGGTGCTTAAATGTGTGTGCTTCGTGTAATTTAAGGACTTTTGGAAAGGGATCAATCTGTCTTCTTGTCTAGAAGCAATTTCACACACACATGCAAACAGAGTATGATCACAGAGTCATCGCAGAACACATTTCTCATGCGTCATATCTCTGGACTAAAGACAGGAAGATCAGAAATTATTATTATTTTATTTGTGACATAGGTGTTACTATAAACAGTTTTGTGACTTAAGTAGTTCACGTGGATCATGTTCAACAATATTTATTGGATGACAGACAAACTTATTTTGACACTTTAATCAATCCACGGCTCTAACAAATTGTTAGATCACATGACCTTAGATGTTGTGTCATAACTAAATGCATAATACTGTATGTTGATATTGAAATCTATGCATCATGCCTTTTTTGTTGTGATGCCAAACCTTTATCCCTCTATATTCAGTCTGTGATTGTAGTTACAGTATGTAACGCACTACTGAAACTTCTGACCTTGTTTTTATTATTACTCCTTTTTATCGAAGCTCATTAGTTGGCATTCCAGTGTAGCCAAATACTTTTCTGTCCTGTTATCAAGTAATATTTGTTATTAAATATAATGACCATCCTATATCATTTCTATACTTCATATAGTCTTCAATGTATGAAGTTGATTCTATTTAGATTCAGAACCCAAATGAATACATTATGTAAAAGGCCCTCTAATGAACCTCTGAGCTTGCCATTTCTCAGTACACTGAAATAGACAAAAAATAATACACAGAGGAAAAAGAGCTCATTCCAACCCTTTAACTCCTGCGTCTCTTTAAACCTGCCTCAGAATGGCTACACGCCGCTCCATATTGCTGCCAAAAAGAACCAAATGGACATTGGGACCACACTGCTGGAGTATGGCGCGGACACCAACGCAGTGACGCGGCAGGGCATAAGCCCGATCCACCTGGCAGCGCAGGAGGGCAGCGTGGACCTGGTGTCCCTGCTGCTGACCAAGAACGCCAACGTCAACACGTGCAATAAGGTGAGAGCAGTGACGTAGCTGCAGTATGCTCAGTTACAAAACAATTCCTTTATGCAGACTCTTCAAACACACAAATGCAGATCTGCTTTAATGCTAGCATCACCATTTTGGGAACGAGATAAAGATACTGTAGAAAAACAGATGGGTCTTTAAAGTATGTTTCCAGCATCCTGTTTCCTGTGAGAGATAGCATGTTTCAGTCTTGTTATGTGCTCCCAGCATAACAAATGTACATGATTGTGTGTGTCCTTTCCTGTTATACAGAGCGGACTTACACCACTCCACTTAGCAGCTCAGGAGGACAAGGTCAATGTTGCAGAAGTCCTTCTCAACCACGGTGCTGATGTCAACCCACAAACAAAGGTGAAGCTTTCTCAGATATTATATATAAACGTATGAAACACACATTGATAGGGGTCTTTATATCTCTTTTAGCCGCTAAGGTTTGGTGAAAAGCCGTCAATATACACACATCACTGTGTTTGCTGTCTTCTCTTTGTGTTTTCCTTTTTAAGTGGAATTTTCTGTTAAGTTTAATAGCGGCTATAAATTCCACTTACACACACTCTTAGGCACACACACTCACACACACACTAGTCTGCGATCATCTCAGGTGCTACATAAATAAAGGATTGCTACCTGAGTGGAAGGTGTTCATGTCTTTATGGATGCTCCCTGCACTGCAGTAAACACACACACACACACACACACACACACACACACACACACACACACACACGAACATGCTCTTTTATTCAGTCACACACAGTTTCATTCACTTACACACAGACACACACACATGGGCCCCATAAAAGGCTGCTCACGTTCACTGAGACAAACCTGCAGCAGCTGAAGGTTGGACTAACACAAGGTTATGTACTGTGTGTACGTGGGTCTGTGTGTATTTGTGCTGACAGGACAGTTGTTTACAGCAAAGAGGTTATTCACTCACTGATCTCCCCATTACCATTATGCACTGTACTCATAATTCAGCAAGGACATGAAATATGACACAGCTTGGACGTTGTATTTACAATCAGAGATAGCATGCTTAGACAAAGAGGTTAATAAATTGTTCCCATATAAACCATGAGTTTTCTCTCATATAATAATTCTAATTTGTACGAAAAGCCCTTGGTACCTTGCATTTAATTCACTTTAACATAAAAGCTAGTTAATTAAGAAACTAACAAGATGAGGTATTCAGTCCGCATAGGTTATATTCCACCTTTTTCCCTCTCGTCGCCCTTTAACGTCTCTGTCTCTTCCTCCTGCAGATGGGTTACACACCGCTGCACGTGGCCTGTCACTATGGCAACGCAAAGATGGCAAACATCCTGCTGCAGAACCATGCCAGAGTGAATGGCAAAACAAAGGTAAAAAAGCACATGTTCACCCACCTAAACACACTCTCATGCACAATGTTGTAGTTTTATATAATAGATCTTCTAAATCATCATATTTAATATGTATTTTCTCTCCCTGGATGTTTGTGTGTCTGTAGAACGGGTACACTCCTCTACACCAAGCGGCTCAGCAGGGCCACACCCACATCATCAACCTGCTGCTTCAGCACGGGGCCTCTGCCAACGAGCTCACTCTGGTCAGTGCACAAACACACTGGCACACACACATGCTCCAACAGAGCTGATGAAATAACGAACGCTCTGTTTTCTGTCTGCCTCCTGTGAATAACTTCCTGTTTCTGCTCAGAATGGGAACGCTGCCCTGTCCATCGCCCGCCGTCTCGGATACATCTCTGTGGTCGACACTCTGAGGCCTGTGACGGACGAAAACCTGACCACCATGGTGAGACACTATGTCCTTTCATTGGTAGCTCATAAAATAAGATAAGATAAGAGGTATTTTATTAATCCCAATTTGGGAAATGTTTTTGTTGCAGCAGCATAAAACAAAACAAGGCATTGCACATAATAACACATTAAAAGAGTAGAAATAAACAATACTAAAATATAAACATCTCAAAACAGAAATAGAAATAAACCGTTTATTTGTCAGACATAAACTGTCTGACAAATAAAAACACTATTGAAGGGCCAGTTTTCTGTTAACTCCTATGATTAAATGCACACAATATATAGATAATAATATATATCACATCACCATTTCAAGTCTGTGTTCTCTAACTTGGAAATAATATGAATACAAAAGCCACGCTAATGCAATAAATCCAAGAAATTAACCTGTTTATAATTAAAAAGTTGTTTCATATTTTTGATTCTTCTGTACCAGAGAATATGAAACAGTATAAAATGATTTGAAAAGTGGGAATTTAGCATCCTTTTAAAGTTGAAATTACCATACTTTTTACGTGTTTTCCTACATTACTAAATCTCATATGCTTTGCCTCATTTACAAAGTATTAAAATAGTGACATTTTTAAATTGCTTTCCTACTTTGCAGGCAGCTTTTCATTTTTATTTATTTCTGAATAGGAAAATAACTTAAAGCTCTTAAAAAAGTTATCAATCAACAACAAGGCAAGTAAGGATTTAAAACTTCACAATGTGAGATAAATTGTATAGAATTGTGGTTGTTTGTTAGCTAAAAACATTAAATATACTTAAGTAAAGTTTAAATTATTTATCGCTTCTGGATAAAAACATTTACAACCACTAGTGTTCCTGATTGAGCCGCTGTATTGAACTAAATGGAGACCAATTCCCCTCTCATATTAAGACTTGGCTGGTCAGACAGTATCATACTGTAAGTGGAGTCAGTGTGTGTATCCTGCAAATCAGCCAGCAAGTAAGTCAGTAAATCACGCTGGGTCACATGTGTGAAGTTGTCCTGATTAAGACACAGAGAGAGGGAGAGAGGGCTTAGATTGGAGATTAAGGTTTCTCCTCAAATAGCTCAGGTCACTAACAGCGATCTGATCCACACACATGTCAGGAGATAGAGGGGGAGGGAAGAAGGAGGAGAAAGTAGTAAAGAAGAGGAAGGAGTAGGATGATGGAGAGGTGACAGGAGTGAGGGGGGGGGGGGGACAGAGGTCACTGAGGATCCTGTGCAATCAGCAGCAAAGTTAATTAGCTGTGACTGTCTCTGTGTACAGTGAAGTTACCCTGTGTTGTTTTATGTCTCTATTGAACCTACATCTGCAGCCTGTGGGGCCACTGCTGGTCAGTTGTGTGTGTTAATGTGTGGCCTTCACACACACAGCACCATTACATCTTACTGTGCCTGAGGGGCCAGGGCTCAGATTCACTTTAACATCCATATTAGGAAACACACGTGAAGGTCACACTTTGGTTGGAATGTAGATGCTCATCTTGTCACAATTGTCTCTAAAATGTTTATAGTGTGGGGTGATATAGCACCTTCAATATGTTCAGTATAGAGCATAGTTTAGTAGAGTATCAGCAGTCAAATCATTTAATCATTTGGTATGTTATCGTATTCTTTCAAAAATCTAATGCCGCATTTTTACTCAAATTCTCAAATTGGAACACAACACAATTATTGTCCAAAGTATTCACAATAAAGATATTATCGTAATATCCATAGAAAATAATGTAAAATCTGTCAAATATAATAACTTCAATTATTTTTCCCTTTTTGTTTAGTAAACCAATGTATTCCAGAACAAAGATTAGTTTGTTACTTTTTGCCAAAACTGAATTGTTCATATATTTTCGACATTTACAGAGTGCTTCAGAAAAACACAAAATCAACGTCCCAGAGACCATGAATGAGTTCCTCGACATGTCTGACGATGAAGGTATGTGAAAAAAGCAATAGTTTTACTAATTCCTCCTCATTTTCAGCCATTTATTACTAAAATGTCATTAATTGATACTTGCAAACTATTGCTGCAGCTTGATAAAAATAAGTTATATTAATGCACTGCCTGATTTTTTACTTTGTGCTATGTGATATCATTTTCATTAACATATGCATGTTTCACTGTAAATCTCACAGTCCGGGCCGATGTGCCGGAAACTCTTTTTCAGATGTTTATGAAGGTCTTGTCACCATTTTGCCTCCATCGCTCTGCAGTTTGTTTGTTTTACTTTAACATAACTCAGCAGAACCCACCTGTCATGTTGCAGTGCTAACCCTCAAGCTTTTGCTGTACTACTATTCAGCTTTGCTGCTACTTCTCAATAGATGGGAAGAATCTGAATGCACATCCCTTTTTTTGAATAAATCTATTTATTTTGAGCTGTTTTACCCTTGAATCTGGTCTTGGTTTTCAAGGAGGTTAAAGTGTTTGTTTCTATTCACCAACTGCTGATGTTATTTTCACTGCAACTCAAAAATAAAAAACAAGGCCAATGTGACGCACTTTAGAGTTCACGTGACCGATTATGAAAAAGTCCTGCATTGAGTAAATGAAATAATCCTGTCTCACTGTAAACCTCAATAAACAACACAACATTCACCATAACATAGTTAGCATCTGAATAGCTTCTGTAGCGCTGCCAGGTCACATTGTTTCATGCTGCCCACTTCAGTCTTCTGCCCTTTGTTTTGGAACCAGCGAGCCAACAGGCCTGCAAAATTGATGAGCTTGTGCATGGGCCGTTGCCTAGTGGACATTCAGGGGGGGGGGGGTTGGAGTTTCTATGTCAGGTGATACAGCTAGACTCAACAAGTTGCGCGTACACACACACATATCAGGTGATAAGGGATGAGTTTGCACTGTGGCTGTATGATGAAGATCCTCATTGGCATAACTATGATTCAGTGTGTTATCACTACCATGCAGGAATTGTAAATAGGATTCCACGGCCTTATGTCCTCCACATAAACTGTTTATACTGTGCGCATAATACATCAACATTGTACTCGTGCAGGGCGGTACAATGATATTCGCTTTCAGAAACAGAAAGCAGCACAAGACTGGCTTTATTCAGCTGACAGCACTCACTCCTTCATATTTGTTGTGTGTGTGTGTGTGTTAGAGGAAGTAAAACGCGTTTCCACATCTCGGTTTAATCCTATATGGGGGAAGCCAATCCTATTAAGTTGTAGGTGTGAGGGACACTCCTGGTCTCTGGCTGTCGTGTGTGTGTGTGTGTGTGTGTGTGTGTGTGTGTGTGTGTGTGTGTGTGTGTGTGTGTGTGTGTGTGTGTGTGTGTGTGTGTGTGTGTGTGTGTGTGTGTGTGTGTGTGTGTGTGTGTGTGTGTGTGTGTGTGTGTGTGTGTGTGTGTGTGTGTGTGTGTGTGTACGTTTCCTCTCATGCTTTCTATGGATACTATAGCCACACTAATTGTACCATCTTTAGCGCAACTTAACTCCTTGTTGTGCTCTGCTGTCTCTCAGAGTAGAGTATCTCTGTAATCCCTGACTGGCATTAGAGGTCGTTACTACAGTTGGTATGCTGAAGGTCTTTTGTCAACTAGAGCTGCAGAAATTAAATGATTATTTGTTCAATATTAAGTATAGTAAGTAAATCTTTTGATAATCAAACAGGTTGATTCACAATCTAAATTGTATTATTCCAGCTCCTTACATTCAAATAGTTTCTGGTTTCTTTACGCTTCTATGACAGTTCGGTAACAACTCAAACAGTTGTTGATCGTACAAGACATTTAAGGACTGATTAACATTTTTGGCCATATTAAAAAAAAAACTATTGAGGAAATAAATAAAACATTTCCCTTCAATGAAAATAATAGTTAGTTAACTGTCAAGTACATATTGTTCTAACTTTACTTTATCTTGTGCAAGTTTTAGTCAGTGTGTAGGCTATAAGGAAAAAAATGTTGCCCAATAATAATAAAAAAAGGGAACATGAGGGTGGTTATTTCATCATTATTTTATCCCCACTGCCAGTTTGACATGCAGCCAGGCTTCCACCAGAGGAAAAAAAAGACAGGAGGAGTATTCAGGGAGATTTTTCTTCTCGTCTCTGTCTCCTACTCTGAATTTCCAAAGCATTTGATCCAGCGACCTGTCAGCTGACTGCTCTCCACTGAGCGGTAAACATTCAGCGAGCCTCCTGTTGACTCTCTTCAGTCGGAGTTTCTGCACGGAGACTTTCTCTCTTTAAATCCAATGAGATGAGCTTTTCTGAGTCTCCTGCAGGAGTATTAACCCCGGTGTGGCCGCAGGTGGCTTTACTCCCACTCTTTCTAACCTGCAATGTGCACTGTGTTGCAGTAAGAAGACGCAAAAGTTAAAAAATATTGAATTGTGTGACTTTCCGGAGAGAGGGAGGCGGAGATGTGCGCAACAGTGCATTTTTGGTCTTTGTGGAGTTAAGTGCGTGGGGTGAAGAGAGGGCAACATTTTCCATCAGCACGAGAAGCACTGAATGGACCACTTGATAGTCCTCACCTCTCACTGGATTTACTCTTCATTCTGGGGACGTTTCGCGGAGCACTAGAAATTCCTCAGGGAATATAAGAATAGTTGCGATCAATATGGCTGCGTTGGAAAAAGGTAAGTCGTGACTCGTAAGAGCGTCTGATGAAGTTTAAATGGAGTGATGTTGATGGTTTGAAGGTTAAAATGTAAAAAACAAAACCAAAAAAACAGGATAGATCGTAAATTGCAGACTGTCGAGAATAACAGATTCGCAAATTGTTATTTGTATTTCCTTTTCAATGTATTGAAGTGATAGATGGCAATTCAAACAGCTATTTGTTTTTTGTGGATATTTGTCTGCTGCTAGTGAGAGGAGGAGAGAGAGTGTGTGTTTGATGCGGTGACTTTGTAACACACACTTCACTTTAGGTTGAAAGTATATAATAGCAACAGGTGTTTGTGTGTGTAAATGTTGCGCGGTGGGTTATGTGTGTTCGGCTATCTCAACTTGAATGGGACGGTGATATATTAACAGCAGCGCGGAGTCAATTGTTTTCCAGTTTTGTCAAGTCAGACAGAAATAGCTGGAAAAACACCGGAAGTAATGCGCTCAAATTTACCATCAAAATAAAAGCACAACATATTCATAACAAAACAAACGTTTTACTCATGCACACAAAATGTGCAGAGATGAGTGTTTCTAAATAATTAAATATCGATTTAATATATTCTAATTCCTTCTTGTAACTGGAATCAAACTGCAGTAAGTCTTAACTGTTGCATTTGTATTAATGTGCCTACTTTATATAGATAAATACTACATGTTAATAGCATTGTTTTCAGATTTTTCATTTTGGGACTAAATTATTATTATATTATATATATATTATTATTATATTATAAAGAGTATGCTGAGAGAAAACACTTGTTTGATGATAATATTGACTTAACACAAGAATAAGCAGTATTTGGCTACACTCAACTGCATCACACTTTTATAAGCTTTCATTCCTGTTGTAAACAGTAGAAGTTGCAACACAAGTTAGTCATTTATTCAGGAATCGTGGTGAATGCTGCAACGTCCACCCAGACGAAAGCATTTACATCTATTACCACAGTATTTCCCTAAGATAACTGAGGTGAATATTTAGTTTGCATATTGCTTTTGTAGAGTTGATTTGAGCACGTGGCTCCATACGTTTTAAATAGTTAGTTCGCTTTTTTACCTTAATTGAGGTTTGACAATCACAATCCTTTCACCTGAAGTTTTATTTTGAAATTAGACACCGGAAATGCTTAATTTAACGTCATCTAGCTTGCCACTGTTGCTGGTGTGTGATCGGAGTGCGGCAGTATTGAAGGCAGGGGGAGGGGCTGCGGTGAAGGAGCGCAGTGTTTGCAGGCAGGACAGAGCAGGACATGAGGGAGAAGGGGAAACACAGTAGCCGCTCCGCCGGCTTCATTGACCGGCGTGTCATCGTCCACCGGTCCGCTGATCGAGGTGCTGCTCCGCTCTCTCTGCTTTTTCTCTGCTGTTTGTGCCCAGGCTTTGGGTCTCTGTTAAAACCTCTGCTGCGCGCTGTGTGTCAGTGTTGTGAAAGGAGCTGCGTTTGGTTTTACAGGAGAGCTCCAGATATACCCCAAAGTGGCATTGCTGTTTATGGCATTTTTCTACAAAATGATTATTGTTTTACCTCTCTAACAGGCATGCATTGGCGCTGCTCAACGTTCCAGCTTCATGTTGTTGTTGTGTCTCAGTCCAAATGAATAGACTAAGTTGCAGTGGGCTATGCAGTTGCAGTGAGGTAGCCTAGTATGTGGGTTTTAATAAATTATCCAAGGCCTCCTCTAAGTAACATAATCTGATAAGTGAAAGAGTGATGTCGGCAGTGTGGGCTTTTTTTTCTTTTTTTCTTGAGATGCCGCATCGCCTCTCTTTGCCTGGATTGGCTTTTTGAGATAACAGGAGGATTTTATGATTTCATCCCCTCCACCAGGTGAGGATGCGATGACCGGGGACACGGACAAATACCTGCGGCCTCAGGACCTCAAAGAGCTGGGGGACGACTCCCTGCCTCAGGAGGGCTACATGGGTTTCAGCATAGGAGCCCGCTCAGCCAGGTAAGCGCCTGTCATTTATATTATTAAAATCACTGGTGTACTGGTGCAGTGCAGACAACTACTATTTCCAACTTGTCCTTAGAATATTGTGGCCAGATTATGTTTATATCTATTATCAATTCATGAGGTGGTTGTTCACCCTATGGCAATGCTTTGGTATGGATATTGTTTAGTCTATGTTGGACTGAAATAGATCATATAATGTACAGCCCCACCAACACACACACACTCAAACAAAAACAGAATAATGGAAATTGCTAGCGATAGCATCTGGAAAGTTGCCATGCAATGATTCAACCTGACAAAATGATTCAGCGTTTTGTGTGGCCTCATTCGACCCATGCAAAGATGACAAATGGGCCATAGTGTAACACAAGAGATACGAGCTGTATCTGTGACAGTGATGCCTTTGATACTCTTGATGAACAGCTGCATGTCGGGATTCTCTACAGGCCCACCTAGCTACAGTTTCCAATAGTGGACAAAGTGTGTTGTGGAAAACTGGCAGGCTCCAGTGAAAACACATCAGCAGCACACACAGGAGGAGTGTGTGTGGACGCAGTGTGTATTTTTGCCTCGCTGACAGATGGCAGACGTACTGTGATGGTTGGATTGATAAAAACAACTACACTAACTGGACAGGAAGCTGCTTCAAACAACAGGTCTCAGCAAATAAGGGAGATATTCCATGTAAACAATGATGAGCTTGGTGGGTAGTTTATTGGAAAGAGTTTTGAATTTAATGTGGGAGTTATTGTTTGCATAACATTGTTATTATTCGAGTGAAAACAGGTCTGTGGCCACATTTGATTATTTGAATCTGAAGTCATTTGCTCAGATTTACTGTTTGTTTACCTTTGTTAACAGTTTATTGGTATTTGAGGGTACTCCAGACAAAAGTTATTATTGTGAGAAATATTATTATCTCCATCTGCTACAGATTAGAGCGCCGTACAAAAACTGTTTACTTTTTCGTGTAATTGCGAATAGAAGTTGAGATGGTGCAGGGTTGTGTATTTAATGCTTTGAAATACTGTAATTATTGATCAATTAATGTTTGATGCTGAGCTACTTCTTTTCTTTTCCCTTACCTTTCTGTTTATGACATCGACATTGCATGGTTTGCTTTTTGACTGGGCTGCATACACACTCACTAAAACCTATAATCGCTTGTGCCTAGTCGTTGAGTGCAACCATGCAAAAGTTCAGCTTCAATGTCATATGGGGGGAAAAGAAAGCCACATCCTGCTTGAATGTCTCCAAAATGCTTTGCTTTTCACACTTCTATTTTGATCTTCTCCTTGCACCGTGTCCCTCATTCTAGCCCTAGACTCAGGTAAGAAAAGAATAGTCGTTGTAGTAGTTGTAGACGCCATTAGCTGTGAATGTTGTCCCCCCCTCACCCTCTGTACTACTACATAAAACCGCTAACCCAAACCACAAGTCATTCATTGTGAATTAGTGTCATCCAGTGTTGCTGTTTGTGGTACCAGATTTGTTGTCGCCGTGACGTTTTGTATTTTAAGATTGTTGCTCATTTTATCTGATCACCATCCACCATATTTGATCATCCTTCTTAAAAAAATCATCTTATCTTCAAACTGAAAATGTATTTTTTCATGCAGGTTTGAAAAAAAGCTGGAAATGAGTTAATGAAAGCCACTCTTGTTTTGCAGAGTTTTTCAGTTTGAGTTATGTGGACTCATTTTATAACTTTTCGATGTGGCTTGTTCTTAAGTGGCACTTCAATCATAATTTTGTAGTGCCACTTGGTGTAACTTCCAGGGATCAACACATCAGGTTGTTAATATCCACAACTTTTATCCAATTTAATTAACAATAATTGGACATTTATCTGGATGATTCTGGTTGTGAAATCATGGTTTGCAGAGATGGAAACTTTATGAGATTTCTCTGGATTCTTTATTTAAGAATTTAGAAATCATCAAGGACAGACAGGCGTTCACACATACACAGATGCACCCGCGCACAAACACTTGCCTAAACAAACAATGACTCAAACATTTGTCTCTTTAGGTCCATATAGACTTAGGATAATTTGTACATAAAAAGAGATGTGAGAAAGAAATTAAACATGTTTCTGGATAATGGAAAGTGTAGTTTACAGCAAGGCAGATTTATCTACAGTTAAATTATGGGAGCGGTGTGGAAAGAGGGACAAAGGGGACAGAGAAGGATGGGGTTAGAGGAATTCAGCGAAGTAGAGAAAAAGTCAAACAAGTCTTCCATTGAGTAAACTGTCAGATAACCAAAGAGCAACAAATCTGAAATGGAGACAGTAGAGAGAGGAAGAGATGATGGGACAGCTTTATGAAGAAGAAGTGCTGGGAGTTGGCATAACGTCCAGGAATAGATGACAGACAATAAAGAGGACAGCCAGGATAATGAGCAGTGAGGCAGGAAATGGAAAAAAGCTTGGATATTTAGAGAAGAGGATAGACAGGATGAAATAGAGGATGAAGCTGTGAAGAACAAACAGAGTCTGGCTGAGAGCTGAGGGGGGGGGGTTCGGGGGGGTAACGCCATGCCAGCGAGTCCATTCAGACCGTACAGAGTTGCTTGGTAACTTCGATGGTGGGGTAGGCAGGCTGTGCTGAATAAAGGGCTTCTCTCTGTGCTGAATAGTGTGCCCACTCAAACATGCTGAGCTCTGCATTTTATCCCCTCCTCGCTCCCCCCCCTCTCCCCCACTCCACACACACACACACACACACACACACACACACACACACACACACACACACACACACACACACACAGGTCACATCAATACACACATATACAGTATGCACAAATAAAGCACAGAGCTGTCAGCTTTGTCACTGGCATTGTATCTCTTATAGTGCGCAACCATATAAAATATCATCGTATATTATTTATACTGTTTGCCCATACCAGTGCGCAACATTTAACGCAGTGTATCGTGACTGTGCGTTCGGCTGCTACGCCTTGATCAAATCCCTGTAGCAAAAACAGCACAAGACCAAAAAAAACCTGAAAGGAATCAGCACTGCATTGAGAGGATGCAAAAATAGTCACCACACACAGCCGTACAGCAGACTGCAGCAAGACAGATAGAAAAAGACCAGCGTCCCTTTTATGTTTTTGCTGCTCAGAATCAGGTCTAGGTCAGCTGCTAATCTTAGACCAAAGAAATGTCAGTCCTCAAACACAAGTCAAATTTAACTGATTCACTTTCAAGTAAACGTCATTTCTTTATACTGTCAAAACAAGGTTGGCACAAAGACGTCGACTAATCTATCATATTTCATCGTTTAGACACTTAGTTATATCCGTGTTTGTGTATCACATTAACCACACTCCTGTAGAAGTTTAAACAGCCGTCTGTTTTCTATAAGTCTGTTCCTATTTCCCTCTATCTCTAAATGCAAACAACACTGACCTCACATTTCCATCTCTGAACAACCTGCTGCAGTATCTTATCTTTGCTCAAACTGCGGGCTCTTCAGCCTCTCCCTCTCTATTTTCCACTTATGGACACTCTCTGTCCAGCGAGTAAAACAACCTGGTTCCCTGGAGGTTGCATGTAGTAATGGATTCCTTGCTTTTTGTTTTGTGTCGTGTTCCCCTGCCCGTCACTTGTTGTTGCCCACGGCACCGGGTTGCGTGGTAACATGTAGCCTCCGCTCCTTCAGTTCGGATAGGTCCAACACACTCAACCGGAGCTCCTTCGCTCGGGACAGTATGATGATTGAAGAGATTCTGGCGCCCACTAAAGACACGGTAAGACCATTCATCGTCATATTTTGTGTTTTATCTCCACACTCTGTCTATATTTAACCTTCTATACCCAGCCCTTTTGTTATTCTCTCACTCTATGCTCACTGTTACTTCCTTGACATTATTTACATTTGTTTTTTAAGCTTTGATGTCTCTCTTCTCCACAGGTGCATCTCTTGTTTTACTATTGTCAATGACTTAGGGAAAAAAACAGACTGTGTAGAATTAAAAGTAGGGTGGCGTTACTTCTCTTGCACAGAGGTCATAACAGAAGCAGTGTTGATGACATGCTTTCTCTTGCCAAAGTGCTGAGGGAGAGTGTATATAGCACCTTGACGAAGAGTTTATTCAAACCTAAGGGCTTCAGGAGGCCCCTCTTTCCCTCCTCAGGGAAAAACGCTGTGTTTTGCAGAGCCTGTTTCATGCTTGTTTTGGTAGTCAGGAGCAAAAACAGAAACTGTAACCTCTTATAATAAACAATATTAGTAATATAACTCGAAATGTCCAATGACATCACCCAAGATTTAAACTAAACACGGCCAAAATGTGCACTCAACTCTCCTCTACAAAACAAACACAAATGTTTTTCCCATATTAAACTAGTATTATAACTAATTGAAAATATACAAACAGTCAAATTGTTGATTCTTTCTTGGTGGTCAGTTTAGGTGCCATGTTTACTATAATCTGCTACATTTGGTAGATAAAGTTTCATTTCATTTGGGGATGCCTGAATTGTAGGACCATATCATCTTCATGGAGAGCGGAACATGTTTTATTAGATGGAAATTGGATCCTTTAGTGAAACAAAGCACCATAAACTCATTTGTCTGGACCGCACGGTGCCCTCTGTGACGTCTGAACTGTCTCTCTTCTCCCCTTAGCTTCAAAGTGTCTGTAATGACATTTCCTATTTGGTTGACCCACTCAATAAGGTATAAAGAGTTCATGGATGACAGACTCATTCATCAGTTTACCATCTTTCATTCACTGTGGTCCAGCTCTCATTGCTCTTGGGTTTTTGAGTTGTCTGTATATTTGTTTGTTTTGGGTCCATTCCACTCTCATTTTATTCATTAGTGGTGGTCTGTGTTTAGTGAATGGTCATTCCCATGCTACTGTCAGTCTTCATGAGCTCCCATGATTCGATTTTCATATGAATAATGGTTATTATAAAGCTGGTTGGGTAGTGACAAATTGTGTGTTATCAAGATGAGGATATGTGTGATAACCCAGATAACATTTAACAAAACGTGCAATTGGGTTAAAGTTCCACCGTCACGTCACTAGAAAAACAGAATGCCATCCCACATGTTTGGATAGTTAATGGTGACAAATGTTGTTCGATAACATGTCGGGAAAAAAGTAGAAAGATTCATTCTTGTCAACCTCTATGTCCGCTATTTATTTGTTCTGTCCTTATATTCCACGTTCCTATTTCTCATCTCCCATCTCTATCTGCCTCCCTATCGCTGTTAAACCTCTTCTTTCTCTTCCATATCTTTTCCTCCTGCTCTCTTCCTCTCCCAGCACCTGGCTGTGACCAGAGACTACAGCACTGAGTGTATGCGGCGCTACAGCTGGACCCCGGACACCGTGGACCACAGCCACAACACTGTGTCCAGCCCCATTCACTCTGGGTAAGAACAGCTGCACTGCCTCCGCCCATACATCACGATATATCTACCAGCATGCACACACATGCACTACAAACTAGGGCTGTCCTCATACTAAGACATTTCAGACAACCTATTGATAAGTTGATTTCATCGACAGATCTGTAGAAATTAGTTTCTACACAAAGAATCATGCAAAAATCTAAATCTTGTGTTTACCAGGGATGTGCTGATAGGATTTTTGGATAATTTTGCATGAAAAAAGCTGAAAAAATTACTAATGGATTAAATAAATCATTTTAAACTAAAACATCCTAGAGAGGCAGCCCTACTACATGCAAAAGCTGCATGTACATCCTAATAACTATTGCATAAATCACACATTTTCTATGCACACAACTGCTGTATTGTCTTTTGTTCCCCCCCAAAGAGTCAATATTCAGCAAACCCTGCAGCACTGATGCAGACATGATGCAGGGCTGTGGGATTTCTGCAGTGCTGCTACTGTACACATTACATTACAGCAACAAAAGAAACAGTCTGTCCTCTAAAGCTCTCATGTCATACCATAAGTCTAGAGACAAAGTCCAGGCATCACCCTAATGTTCACTGACGTCAGCTCTATTCCTGTCATCACAGGAACAAAGTACAGACTCTCTGTGAGCTCATGGTGCTTGTCTTGTGTGTTTCATTTGGATAAAAGTGATAAGATTTGACGCTCACTTTGAATATAGGACGTTAAATGCCTGCTTTATATACACGGAGCTGTGTTAGAACATCATTTAAGGCTTAATAATTGATTTGGTGTTTTGCTTAGAAAACCTGGGATCTGTCATGTGTTTTAGTTGAGTCATTATTACTTTTTGTGTGTGTGTGTCTGTGTATTTATATATTATTTAGTTTGTTGTCATGTTGTCCCTTCTTTCCCTTGGTTTTCCACCCCGGTATTTCTTTCATCTTCAGTAGTTACTGCAGATCCCCACAGTGATTGTGAACCTTTGATACTAAAACTAGATTTCGGGGGTTTGCCTCCTGCATTGCCTCCATGTGTTTATTTTGCAGCCTCTCCTCCCCGCTCCCTCAGTATGACTCCAGGTGATGACTGCTGCTTTCACCTACGATGCTGCAGTGATGACTCCCACTCCTCCCCCCCTTCTCTCTCCCCTCTCACCTCATCAGTCTCTCCCCCCCCTCTTAGCCTCCTCTACTCCTCCACTCTGTGCTCGTCTCATCCGTGTGGTCTGGTGTTTCATTTGCACTCCTTAGATATTAGAGGTGTTAAGTCAACGTGTTAGGGAGTCTTTTCATCTGTCTTTCTCTCACATAAAATTACATTTCCCTCGAAACCTTACAGGGATTCTGCTTTTCTGCCAACATACACTATAGAAAAAGCAACAATATACATAACGCAACACATTTTAGCTTTAGATTGATCGTGCAAAATTCATGTTTTGCTCTTCTCCATCGTCACTCATTACTTGTGTCAATGATTATATTAATGGGATGCCGAAATCAGCTTTTAATTCCAAGACGCATCACATATTAATCACATTAACCCTATCTTGGTGAAACATCTGTGCAGGTGTTTAATATTTGATCACTGAATGCTGCTTTTAGAGGACCTGAAACTTTGGCAAAAGTCTCACCTTGTGCCTCATGAATGGAAACTAAACGTTGCGACTTCATGAGCACCCTGTTTAGTTTCAGACAGTGTTTAATGTTCTGAAATGAGGCACGTATAAGTGAGAACTGCAAACTTTCAGAACTCAAAGCATATTTTTTTCTTCTTTCTATCATTCTCTCCGTCTCTTTCTCTTTTTTTGTTAATTTCTCTCTTTTCCTTACTTTGTTTTGGTGTACGGTGATCACAGCATGGAAATCGTCTTCCTTATTAGTTTCCGTGGTATGACTTCTGTCTATGGCTTTGTCTTTTATTTCTCTAACATTATTTGTTCACCTTGCAGGTTCTTGGTCAGCTTCATGGTGGATGCGCGCGGTGGTTCCATGAGAGGCAGCCGCCACAATGGCATGCGCATCATCATCCCTCCCAGGAAGTGCACGGCACCCACGCGCATCACCTGCCGCCTGGCCAAGAGGCACAAGCTGGCCTACCCCCCGCCCATGGTGGAGGGAGAGGGGCTGGTCAGCCGGCTGGTGGAGGTCGGACCAGCTGGGGCTCAGTTCCTGGGGTAGGACGCTTGGGATTTCATTATGATGCATTGCAGTTTTCAGGGAGAACAGGGAACAAATCAAAGGGGATATTTTCAGATAAACTGTCCTAGGGAAGCTTTACAAGCTACCAATTACTTCACACTGAACGCAGGTGAACCATCAAATGGAGAAATATAGTGTGGTTAGCTAAAGCTGCTCAGAAAAATTATTTTAACTACTATTGAAATTGACAATGTCCGAGTGAAGTTAAACTGCAACTTTAACTACATCCATGAATGTCAGAGGTGGCCAATGCACATAATTGTTATTCAACTCCCCAGCTGCCCTAAAGATTATGGTTTAATTTACTAATTTCCTGAGTTAAATTGTGTTCTACTTTCTCTTTTAGACCTGTGATCGTAGAGATCCCCCATTTTGGGTCCATGCGGGGGAAAGAGAGGGAGCTGATTGTGCTGAGGAGCGAGAACGGTGACACGTGGAAGGAGCACCAGTCTGACGCCAGACCAGAAGACCTCTTTGAGCTGCTTTCTGGAATGGATGAAGGTAAAGCAAAGGTTATTCAGTGTGGCCCAACAATAATTGCCAATGATAATTAGAACAAAGACACTTTAATGCGAAGTTAATGGATGAAGGTGAACTTGAACCACTTAGGAATACCTATACTATTCAACCGAGGGCTATGTGTCAGCTGGTGTCCTAGAAAAACAGATGTTCACTGCAGGACATGTTTCTTTTTCCTGTTTAGCCTACTTAGTGTCCTTTTTTGTATTGACCCTTGCCAAATGTCATACCTTAATAGTATCTAACACATAAAGTCATCATTCGTATCAGGTGATCATAACAAAGTGATAACTTGTGTAAATTGTGTAACTTTTTATTTTGTATTATATTTTTTATTATATCATAATTTTTTTTTTTAACTTAGTACTTTTTAATGCATGTTACATATGTAATATATGTAACATTAAGCTGTCTGTGGCTCTTTTCTGCTGTAACCACGTACATTTCCCCTCCGTGGGACTAATAAAGGTATTCTGATTCTGATTCTGATATTTTCTGTCACAGAGCTGGACAGTCCCATTGAGTTGGAGAAGAAGCGAATCTGCCGCATCGTCACTAGCGATTTCCCTCAGTATTTTGCTGTGGTGTCGCGGATCAAGCAGGAGTCTAACCACATGGGTCCGGATGGAGGCATGCTGTCCAGCAGCACCGTGCCCATGGTGCAGGCCTCGTTCCCTCAAGGAGCGCTCACCAAGAAGATCCGCGTCGGCCTGCAGGTACAGCAGCACTTCTGAATCAGCTCAAATTCAGTTTCATGACTCAGCTTTTCAGTCGCAGAGACTGTCCACTGACCTATTATTTATTTATACTCGAGTCCAGTCCTCCTCACATGCCTGAACCATTTAATTTCAGAAAAAGTTCAGGGAAAGTTTGACTAAACATCTCTCAAAGTTTCATCAACAAACTATTTATTTTACTTCCTGTTGTTTTCCCTTCTGTTTAGGCCCAGCCTGTGCCAGATGACATGGCGAGGGCGATCCTCGGAAACAGAGCCACGTTCAGCCCCATCGTCACCGTGGAGCCCAGGAGGAGAAAGTTCCACAAGCCGATCACCATGACGATCCCTGTCCCGCCTAGATCGGCAGAAGGCCATCCCAGCGGTCACCGAGGCGACACTGCACCCTGCCTGCGTCTGCTCTGCAGCATCACAGGCAAGTAGACCTCTGAATCACTAGAGCAGCTGTGTCAAACTCAATTTCATCACGGGCCACATCAGCATTATGGTTGCACTCAAAGAGCCGGTTGTAACTTTAAGACTATATCATTAATTAATATAACTTCATAATTAACTACGTCTGAAAGCAGAAGTCTAGAGCAAATAATTGCAAGTCTCTTCAGTAAGAATGTCACAATATGATTTTAAAAGAAAAGCCACATTCTGGAAAAACATTGATTGTGACATTTTGAAAAAGAGAAGTGACATTTTGAAAAAAAAATCTATTTATGAGAAAAAGGCTAATTCTAAGAAAAAAGGCATATTTGGACAAAAAAAAGTCACATTTGAGATGCATTGTGGGACATGTCGTTTATGGGCAACGTGCTTCTGTAAAGTAGCATGTAACCGTATAATAAACATATTATATTCTTTGCAAGCTCTTGTGGGGCCACATAAAATGAAGTCGCGGGCCGGATTTGGCCCCCGGGCCTTGAGTTTGACACCCCTGCACTAGAGCATGTACAATTCTGTAGCACCTCTATCCAAAATGCTTCTTCACGACAAGCATTCAGTTATTTAATTAGTCATTGTGTTCTTAGATGCTAATACATTTTATTTGTGACAACAGACATAGTTGTTCACTCTTTAATTTAACATGAGACACAGGTACTAACTCACTAGCCGTGGGCACATCAGTCCTACTTTGAAGTGAAAAACAGGTCGATACAGGGAAGATGAAGAGCTGAGAAGATAAAAGGATGGGGATTACACAAGCTAAAACACAGGCAATGTTGGAAAGGCACTGAGCTCATCTTTTGGCCCTTGTTTCCTGCAGGAGGGACGTCCCCCGCCCAGTGGGAGGACATCACAGGGACCACACCGCTGTCCTTTGTCACCGATTGCGTCTCCTTCACCACAAATGTTTCGGCCAGGTGAGAAACAAACATCTATTTTTTTGTTTGCAATGTATTGGATCACTATAAAAAACATTGCAACCCTTATTCTCCGAATCTGGGTGATAAATGCTTATTTCCAGTAAAGTATAAAACATTAAAAAAACATATTGTAAATGAAAATTGCAACCACATTTTCAATTTGGATAAATAAAGCTCTTTATTGATCTGTTTGGATCACTGTTGTGTCATAAAGGGAAGACTTGTTTCTTATTCTTCTTATAGAAATAAGGGGCATGTTAATCCCAACTAAAGGTCACCACATTCAGCTGATCAAATGAAGTAGTTTTATTCAGCTTTGGTCCCACCAAGCATACGAAAAACTACCACATCTCAGTTGTTTGAAAATGATGAGAGGGAAGTACAAGGAAGCAATCAGAAGTTGGCAATGAATCCCAGAATCCATCACAAGAGGGAAAACTGAATGATAAATATGTACTCTAGACAGACATTGATTTTGTCTGACTTCAACATCTCCTTTTTCACTATCCTTTACTTTCACCGCATGCAGAAGGAGCGCAGTTCCCTTCTTGTCTTACTCTAAATGTTTTTGGAAAACTTTAACCTGCCAATACATTTAATTAGGTGTCTTGATTTTGAGATTTTGTTTATTCTAGTATGCAAAGGCCTGCATACTCACATGATTCATCTTCTCTACACCCAAGTCATGTTGACTATACCATTTTGAGACATGCCTCTAAATGACCTCAGCAACTGAAAGTCTTGGTTGCATTACGCAAACTAATAAACTCTTATTCTAACTAGATTGGGATCATGTGGTGAGTGTGCAGCTTGATATTAACTGAGCACCCTCTGTAATTAGATTACTGGAAAGCTGTCATGTGTTTGTGTTCACCCTTCAGAGCAAAACCCAGCTAATATGATTTATTTCTTTAGAAAAACACTTAGTATTTCTGCCTTATTTGTGCAATGCAAAGTACCAAACTTTAGGGTGTACATCATCGTAATAAAGGGCAAATTGTTCACTTGGCTGACTTCCTGATTTGTGTTTTCCCCCATTTCCTCTCCCTTTTTCCTCCAATGTCTCCTCCAAAGGTTCTGGCTCGCAGACTGTCACCAGATTCCTGAGACGGTGGGTCTAGCGTCTCAGTTATACCGGGAGCTGATCTGCGTGCCGTACCTGGCCAAGTTTGTGGTCTTCGCCAAGATGAACGACGCAATCGAGGCTCGTCTACGCTGCTTCTGCATGACAGACGACAAGGTGGACAAGACCCTCGAGCAGCAGGAGAACTTTGAGGAGGTGGCCCGGAGCAAAGATATCGAGGTGGGGTTGTGGATAAAGAACAACTTTGAAAAATGTTAAAAAAAAATCCATTATATGTTTTATCAACCACATCATTTTGATCAATCTACTTCCGTAGGTTCTCGAGGGCAAGCCTATCCACGTGGATTGTTATGGCAACCTGTCCCCTCTCACCAAAAGTGGGCAACAGCTTGTCTTCAACTTTTACTCCTTCAAGGAAAACAGACTTCCTTTCAACGTGAAGGTATAAAATATACCCCTCCTAAAACCCTCTCTCTCTGCTAGCATTGTCTGTCTCATTGTGAAGTCCTTTGCAAATGTTCTCTTTAATTTAATTATGGCAGAAATGTCAGATCACCCTCTCCTAATTGGCTCGACATTTATAGCAATTTGCTTCTTGCGGTAAATGTTGTTATTCTTCTCACAGCAACACACTATAACTCCATTTTTGTCCTAGATTTTGACACTAACAGCAAATGGATTTTACTCTGCCTGTTATATCCTTACATCTATTTACTGTATGACGATATTCAAATTTAGGAAGTGGCAATAGGTTAAGGTTGTAATAAATGGAGAAAATTCTACTCCTAGAGAAGGGAAGAAAAGTATTTTTTTTGAACAGGGTTGTTATTGAAAGTATTTGTCATGGTCAACTCGTGATGCAATCTTTTTGCTGTCCTCAGATCAGAGATATGGGACAGGAGCCGTGTGGCCGCCTCTCCTTCCTGAAGGAGCCAAAATCCATTAAAGGCCTTCCACAGACTGCCATATGCAATTTGAATATCACACTGCCAACCCACAAGAAGGTAGGATCCCCATGTTTGAATTGCTCACCTGTTTAGGCCATATCATACCATCTACATGTAAATTAAATTGAAATACAGAAAGGGATGTTGTCCGGACATCGAGAGAAGCCATTTGGTCTAGAAAGGACTGCCTGCTGCTTGTGTCTTTTATTAGTGTTAAAGCCTGTGCCAGTCATAAGACCCCACAACGTACACATGCAGCCACACATGCACATCGTGCTTTGGTCTATTGCCTGGCTCACTGTGGGTTCATAAGAATTCTGCAAGAAGACGGCTCTTCTCATTTGTTTGTTGTGGTATTGATTGATCACAAGAAACTGAAATTATTTTGCTTTTGCTTTTGTTATGTTGCTGTTTATTTTGTATTAATCCCATAGATTATTTCTGATGCCTTTTGTTGTTTTTGCTGCTCCATTTTCACCCCCTGATTTTTTTTTATTCCCGCCTCCCCGCTCACTATAACGTCCCTGCTCTCCATTGTGTCATCTCTCTCCTCTCCTGCAATGCATCTTGGAATACCACAGGATTTGGAGTCTGATCCTGATGATGAGGTAAAACAGATTCTTCATCATCACATGGAACTGCTTCTTCTTTGTCGTCCTTTTTGTTGGCTTTACTGCAGTGGTAGATATGTGTGTCGCAGATATTTTGTCTCTGTACTGTTCCTTGGTGTAACCAATGCTTCTGACTGCACGTTTTCTTTACACAGCTACGTCATTGCTGAAGTGACCCCATGTAGTGCATGAGTGGAAATGGCAGTTATTTTAATCAGCAAGGATTTATTTATTATTGTCTTCATCCCAAAGTGCAGTGGAGCCAATTGCTGTGCCACACCTCAGCTTGTTTTTCATTTCTATCTTCCTTTCCATACATGTCCAACAGGAAATCACCATGTCTCCATCTATACTATTAACTCAAAAGAGGTTTCACACAGGACTATGTTGCCTTTTTTCAGCTAAAGATGAAACCCTAACCCTTATCATGTGTCTTCTTAGTAATTGTTTTTGTTGTATTTGGGGTTTCCTTTATCCACCCTTGTCCGTTGCTTGTGTGTAACAGGGAATACTAACTCCCCAGCTGCATGCTCAAACATTTATAGAAGACTTTCATCAAAGGGAGATTCTTTTTTATGTTTTACATGTAGTGACCACGTGTAGTTATTAATCAACATAAATATATCAACCCTCTTCCCAGATAAAATGTTGATATTGGACGATTCGGCACCCAGATTATTAAACCCAGATTGTGTTTGAGTAACAGCAATTTTCCAACATTCAACATAACAATAAATGCAAGACCATAAATATTTTAGTTGTGGGTTAGATGCTTGATTTATATTGGGAAATGTAAATGATGGTTTACCTATATAATGATGTATCGCTCAGATAATTAAAATGTAGTTGAATATGAACAAAAGCAGCACACTCCGGTACAGTACGTGACGGTATGCACCTGAAGAGTTGGTTCGCTAATCACCAGTTAACATAGAATAAGAAGACCACAAGCAAATCTCGCTGACTGAAGAGCCAAACATCGCCGGTGTGGACGTTTTTCACAGTTTCAGCGGAACAAATCACAATTGATTTTTTTGAGGACACAAACTCTGATCACTGGCATGGAAAGATAGACAAACTAGACCAACATTCATCACGCCAAGCTCCACTCCTTTACCTTCCACCTCGTTACATACTATTAACTGCATTGGCACTTAATGTTAACATATACTGTAAATCATGTAATGGCGAATTGTCCATTATGAACATAATTCCTGAAGATGGGCTGAAGTCCTACTGTCCAAAAATTGACACAATTATGAGTTTTTTTCAAGAGGTGTACTTTGTCACCACATTTGACGATCTGAGGAATGTGTCTTCATGTTAAGAGGGTCTCTGTTTGACTCACAAAGCTTACTGGGAGTTGGATTGTGCCCATACTAACTTTTTACTAGAGTAGGCCATTAAGAAGGCACATAATGCCTGTAGTTATGACATTGAGAAATGCAGTGAATGAAGGATGCAGGGAAACAGTCCATTACTCTCCAGAGGAGACACCACAGTACACCTGCAGTGCCTCCTTGTGCCAGTACTAACAGCATGTGCTGATTCACTAAAATAAAAAAACAGCATTCGTGCACTGCAGTATTTAAGTTAACTACATAACATTATTATTTAGACCTCATTCTGATAGGTCAGAATCACATTTCACCATATTTTTTATGTTAAAGCATCTTTTGTTCTTTTTTGTTTGTTTCAGACTGAAAAGCCAGAACGACGTCATACCTTTGCCTCCTTAGCTTTGCGTAAGCGCTACAGCTATTTGACCGACCCAGCAGCGAGTGAGTTTCCCATTTTTACCTTACATGACATTTTTCAATTGATTTCAGATATTTATGTGATTTCTATTAGCTTTAGTCTCTAAAGGTCCCTTTATATAGTGTACATATTTTCATATACCCAAAGTATAGAAGGAGATCTACCTGACAACTTGTTCATGAATCATTTCTTCTATTCACCTGACACAAACTCTTTAATCATGTCATTCATCAACCATTTGCATGGTTTACTGTGTGTTACGCTTTGCTTACCCACCCCATGTTGTCAAAAAGTCTCCCTGTTTCAACTGTTATGTTATCTTACATTTCTGGAAACACTGGGATTCAATGTCTGTCTGTTCATTTATCATTTGAACGAAAAATGTTTTGATTCATGTCGAATAAAATATTATTTTCAATTGTTCTCATTTTCTGGTGGCCATTTCACTCTTATTGGCTTTATGATTGTGTGCGGCTGTGTATATCAATGTGGAAACGGGTTGCACTTTACATTCATTTGATTTCCCCTACTCTGAAGATAGTGTTTTTAGGGATAGTTTTGATATTCTACTTTGTGTATTATCAGTACATTGAAGTTATTCAAATTCTGGGGAACTGTCTGTGTTTCATTATTCCAGCCTTGACCATCCAAGTCTTTTCTGAAAAAAAGTATTTTGTTAACAATCATTTGATATTATTTAAAATATATTCATAGTTATGACTTGAGAAACGCTGATTTAACAGAAAAACACAGAGCCAATTTAAATATGGCTTTAATTGCAGAGCATTCTGAAAAGGCATGAATGGCTGATTTACTTTTCCCTTTTTGTGAAGTGCAACCTCGTATTTTATTATAAGTCAAGACCAAACAAGTAAAGTGTATTTTGTTTACTAATGCTATACACTTGTGGGGTCATCTCTGGCATTGAAATGAACTAAATGAAAGGATAAACACATGTCAATCAAACATGTACTGTAAAAGACACTGTTGCAAGAAGGCAAATAGATTTAAGCACATCAAAAGTCAATGGAACTGTATTTATTGTTTATCATGTCATTTTTTGTCAGGTCTACCATATGTCAACATTTTGTTCAAATACATGCTATGTTCTTTATCAGGTGTGTTTTTTCATTATTCACTGATTATAAGACCATCATTTGTCATATCATCCTGGAATTTTTAAATAGGGGCCTTTATAACAATTCATGTCTAAAAAAATGGTCTTGCTGAAGTGAATATTGCTGTTTCTGACTGACTCAAATTTCTCTTTCTGGTTTTTATGTTTTATTTCAAATTATTTCCGTTACTTTTTATTTTGATTTCCTTATTGCTTTGATTTAAATTATTGTTGAAGAAACAACTGATCGGAGCTCGCCGAGAACACAGCCTTCTAGCTACCCTCACAAACCTGTCTTTTCAACGAGATCTTATCAGGCGTGGTCGCCTGTTCCTGTCGCCGTCGCTGGCCAAGCCAAGTCTGGGTTTGGCTCCATCTCCAGTTCGTCATCCAACACGCCCTCTGCCTCTCCATTAAAGTCTGTCTGGTCCATCAACTCTGCCTCCCCCATCAAGACCAACATCCCCGGATCACCTGCCTCTTCTATAAAGTCAGTTAGTGACATGGCCTCTCCCATCAGATCTTACAGAACTATCTCCTCGCCTATAAAAACGGTAGTCCAGCAAGCCCAGTACCCAGTCCAGGTCTGCCCCAGTCCCCTGGCCTCACCAGGCAGAAGTACCCCAGATTCTACGTCAATGAAAGGACTGGCAGCATTGTCTGCTAGGACCTCCCCTATAACTGTCTCTGCAGGAGGAAGCCCTCTTCTTGAGAGAGCATCGATAAGCTTGACTCCACCAACCTCTCCCAAATCATCTCTGAGTATGTTCAGTTCACCCCTGCCTTACAAGACCATTATGGGTGGCTCAAGTTGCGCTGCATCTTCCTCCTCACCCATAAAAACAGTCCCTGGTCTTTCCTCTGTACGTTCCTTTGCCTCAGACGTCACTGGTCCTGTACGTTCCTTTGCCTCAGACGTCACTGGTCCTGCAAGAAACCTTTTCTCATCTCTTACGTCTCCACTTAAATCCAACACCCCTCCAAGTGCTGCAGCTCTTATTAATGGAACTGTGTCGCCTACACAGTACCGCTCTTCATCCCCAACATCTCTTCTCGCAAACAGTCTTCAAGAGAGAATACAAGCCACCACCAATGCCGCAACGACAAGCGTCAATGCAGCCTTTGAGGAGGTTGAAAAAACATTTAATTCTTGTTCTGCAGGCTATGGCACTCTAAAGTCTTTGTCCTCTTCTCCATCATCCTCATATCAGTCAATTAGATCATCAGCTTCTAATTCACTCTACGCCTCTTTAAGATCCCCTCCTAACGCCACCACTGCTGTAACATCTAGTACAATGACTGTTCCAGTGTACTCAGTTATTAACGTGCTGCCAGAGCCTCAGTTCAAAAAGTTACCTGAGGTGTCCAAGTCAGCTGCTGCCCTTATGTCTCCTCGAAAGACAGTCCCAGTTGAGGTGAATGCTCACATGCAGTCTTCCTTTGCCAGAACTCTTTCCCCAATAAAAACCCCTCATTTTCCTCCTGGTCTGAAATCAAACACTACACCACCACTATCATCCAGTCAAGAGATTCTGAAGGATGTAGCCGAAATGAAAGAGGACTTGATACGAATGTCAGCCATTTTGCAGACAGACCCAAATTCCACAGCCAATAAAGGATTTCAGTCTGATTCTGCCAAAGAGGCTAAGATAGAAGATGACGAGCCATATAGAATTGTGGAGAAAGTAAAGCAAGATTTGGTCAAAGTGAGCCAAATCCTTACTAAAGATGCTGTGAAAGATGGTAGGGTTACCCATGCGAGGGGTTCTTTGGACGACATACACTTCTCAAAAGTACAAGTTGAACAGCCTCCAAGCAACTGGAGCTATCCGCCAAGATATGAGACTGTGGTTCCTCAAGCAACATCAAAAACAATACCAGATAGAGATTTCAATCTTTCCAAAGTAGTTGACTACCTGACCAATGATGTTGGGAGCAGCTCTTTCTCCAAAATGCATGACACAAAGCATAAAGCAGATGAGGGCAAGAGAGAAGGAGAGGGCAAGGAGAAGCAGAAACGTGTCTTAAAACCCACCATAGCAGTTCAGGAGCATAAGCTCAAAATGCCTCCAACAAACATGCGCTCTTCCCTTTCAGACAAAGAGTTCAGTAAAGTAGCAGATGTGCTCTTTGGAGCAGACACTGTGCTAGACTCACCTGATGATATCTCACATGAGCAAGATAAAAGCCCCCTCTCAGACAGTGGCTTTGAGACCCGCAGTGAAAGGACACCCTCTACTCCTCAAAGTGCTGAGGGAATGGGTCCCAAGGCCCTTTTTCAGGATATCCCAGTTCCCCCAGTAATCACTGAGACTAGGACTGAGGTTGTACATGTCATCAGGAGCTATGAGCCCCCAGAGGATAACAAACAACCTGCAATGGAGGATGCTCATCCTGTCAAATATATTGATTCAGACTTTAAAGGGCATCTAGCTACATCAAGTCCAGATCAGAATAAATGCTATTCAATAAAAGTCAGCCCTGATGAAGATCCAATGGGAAAAGGGATGAGGGTAAAGGAGGAGACTCACATCACTACAACTACCAGGATGGTGTACCACAAACCACCTGGCAAAGAAGCAGCATCGGAGCGCTGTGAGGAAACAATGTCTGTGCATGACATAATGAAGGCTTTTCAGTCAGGCAAAGACCCTTCCAGAGAGCTGGCTGGACTTTTTGAACACAAGTCTGGCAACGAGGAAACATCTCAAAGAGTCCTCGAGGACATCTCCAAACCTAAAGTTGAAAGAATAATTGAGGTACACATTGAAAAAGGCAATAAAACAGAACCAACTGAGGTCATCATCAGGGAGACAAAAAACCATGCAGAGAAGGAAATGTATTACTACCCAGGGAATAGACAGGAAGAGGATGAGCCTGAGGAATCACTTCCAGTGTACCTTGACTCCCCCAGAGTAAACACACCCATTCCACAAGAGGAAGACAGTCGCCCTAGTTCAGCCCAACTCATGGCAGATGACTCTTATAAAACACTTAAGCTACTTAGCCAGCAATCTGTCGAGTACAATGATGATGAATCATCAGAGCTTAGGGGAGAATCGTATAATTTTGCTGAAAAAATGCTTCTCTCTGAGAAATTTGACCAGTCTCATTCTGACACAGAGGAATATCTGAGAGATAGGTCTCGCTTCCACTCACCAGACAGAAGCAGTAGCAGTGAGGGTATATCAGGTGGGCCGAGGACAGAGTATGTCTTTAGGTCGTCGAGAAATGTGTATGACAAATCTGGAAGAATGGCAAATGTTGATGATAACTTTGACAAACTAACACTTTTGCAGTATTCGTCTGAGCCTGGTAGCCCAAAGCAATCAGTTTGGATGCGTGTGTCTGATGACACACAGAGTAAGGATAGAGAACAGCTTATCTACGAGGACAGAGTGGACAGGACTGTAAAGGAGGCAGAGGAAAAACTCAGTGAGGTATCTCAATTCTTTCGAGATAAAACAGAACAGTTAAACGATGAGCTCTCGTCTCCAGAGAAGAAGTCTCGAAGACCTGACTTCAGGGAATCACGATCGGGCCCAAGTTCTACACACAGCAGTCCAGAGAGGTCAGCTTATAGAAGTGGGGCTAGTGGGGAAGAGTGGAGCAGAGAAAGGCTTAGAGACAGATTCAGCTCCAGTGATAGAAAATGTGCAAGCTTACCTAGTAGTCCAGAGAGGAGAGTATTGATACACTACAGTGATTCAGACGCTAGAAAACAAGGAGATGGTACATCACAGGGAAGCACAGGAGAAAGCCCTAAACCTTTTCAAATGTCTTCCTCCAAAGTAAGTGCAGTGAGGCTGAAGTTTGAGCAAGAGGCTCAAAGGCAAGATAGGAGTTCTCAGGGTGGCCAAGATTCAAATCCCCCTATTAGGAAACTTCAGGAAAGTAAGCTACCAGTGTATCAGGTGTTTGCAGGACCAAGCATTCCAAAAACGCCAGACAGTCCGGGAAACCAGAGAAGATGTGTAGATAGTGAATCAAATAAGTTCTCCCCCAAGCATGAGACCAGTGGAAAAGACCAGGAAGATAAAAAGTTATTCAAAACATGGGAGAACCAAGACTATGGAAAGTATAAACCCCAATCTCCCAAAGTATCTCATTCTTTAATCCATGATTCTATGAAAGATGGCAATAATAGTGATTCCCAAATGCAAGAAACCACTAAGAAAATAATATACACGGAATTCGTTGTCCATGAAAGTCCAAATAGCAACGATGGTCTAAAAAAAAACTCGGATTCGCAAATTCCTTTAAGAAAGCCTTGTAATTTCTCGGAAATTCAAAAATCCACCACATTAAAATTAGATGCCACTGTTGAACAACAGGAAAGGGCAGGGTCTCACATACCTACTTTAGCTAGAAGTCGATTACACAGTAGCTCTGACTCCAACAAGTCTACTCGTGGATCATCACTCGGAAAATCAACAGACTCATCAGACGGTAGCCTATCAAATGTAGTGTGTAACGGTGTTGATGGTGACCAAGCAGATTTTTTGGGTGAAATAACTCCTGTAGTTGTCACAGAGGGTTTCAAAGATATTAAACCCCTTCCTGTGTATGTTAGTATCCAAGTAGGAAAGCAGTATGAGAAAGAAACAGCCTCGGGGCAGCTGGGAACATACAAACAGATAGTAAGCCATGAGAGTAGGACAGTGCAGGAGACTAGAGGTGCATTTTACACTGTCAAGCAGCCGTCTCCATTTCCCCAAGGAAGTCCAGAAGATGACACTCTAGTGACTTTCATGGACAGCTCTGGGAAAAGTCTTGTTACCCCTGAGACACCAAGCTCAGAGGAGGTGAGTCTGGTCTCAAAAACACCAGAGTCTGTGATAGGCTTCATGCCTGGCTTGCCAAGCCCTATCCCTGAGGAATCTGAGGAAGAAGACGGGAAGACCTTCATCTACAAGGGGCCATCAAAGGAAAAATCCAAGCATGCTTTCCCAGAGAATCACAGTAGAAAACAGGATGCAGAGAGACAGAAGTTAAAGGAGAAAAGAGTGGCTTATATTGAGTTTCCACCTCCTCCTCCTTTAGAGGCAGAGCAGTCCGACCCTGAGAAAAGGGGGTCTTGTGCTTCTTCTGAGGCAGAGACAGAGATGATTGAGGTTAACCTCCAAGAGGAGCATGATAGGCACCTCTTAGCGGAGCCGATCATCAGGGTCCAGCCTCCGTCCCCTGTTCCTCCTGGAGCTGATAACAGCGACTCCAGTGATGATGAGTCCGTCTTCCATCCCATCCCTATAAAAAAGTACACCTTCAAAATGAAAGAGGAGGGAGATAAACACCAGATATCAAACGAATCTGAGAATAATGGCAATGATAATGAGTCTGGGATCAATGGTGTTGTAAAGCAGGAGGATGTTGACTTTGAACAAAATGGCAATGACCAGTCGATTACTGACTGCTCCATAGCAACCACTGCTGAGTTTTCACATGACACAGATGCGACTGAAATAGACTCTTTAGATGGGTATGACCTTCAGGATGAGGATGACGGCCTGAGTGAGGACCCTCAATCATGTAGTATGTCCTTTGATGGAAAAACAACCGACCGCTCATTTAATCAGTCAAAGCTTGAAGTGATAGAGGAAGAGAAATGTGAAGAAGGGGGGGAGAATGGGAAGACTAAAACCAACACATCGTCAGCCAGTGGAGATGAAAAAGATTATACCCTCGAAGGAAGACATCCAGAAAGGCAGAGCTTTGCAGATGAATACTTTGGCTACCAACTTGAAGAGGAGCTAAATTCTACCTTTAAAACTGTTACCACCAAAGGCCTGGACTTTGACCCCTGGTCTACCAAAGGGGGTGATAATGATGGAGTTTTTGAGTCCAAAACAAAAGACGACGATACAAAGCCCTTTGGTTTATCGGTGGAGGACAAATCACAAGCTACAACACCTGACACAACCCCCGCTCGAACGCCGACTGACGAGAGCACACCGACTAGTGAGCCTAACCCCTTCCCGTTCCACGAAGGGAAGATGTTTGAGATGACGCGCAGTGGTGCTATTGACATGAGCAAGCGGGACTTTGTTGAAGAGAGGCTTCAGTTTTTCCAGATTGGTGAGCATTCCTCTGACCCTAAAACAGGGGAAAAGGGGAAAGGGGGCAAGATCCTGGGGGTAATTTCCTCTCAGTCAGGGGAGAGGGCCACTGTAGATGGCATGGTGAAGGTTATAGATACTACCACAGACAGCAGCACAACACCAACAACACCAGCAGCAACAACAGCGAAATGCAGCACTGCACAGCCTGGCAGTGACCCTGGCTATACCGGTACTGACGCCCCCACCTGTGAAGCCATAGCTGAGACCGCCTCCTCATGCACAATCACAGCCTCTAAGGTTGATCCCAGATTACGCACTCCTATTAAGATGGGCATAGCTGCTTCTATAACTGTGAAAAAGGACTCGGGGGATCTCACCGATTGTAAAGCTGATATCTCAGAGGGTCAGATTGTGCCAGAATACATCAATATAGAGGGTCAGAGTACAGAGAGCCAGACTAGCAGACAGACAGAGTCCAAGTTAGAGAGTAGAGACTACCCTACTGAAAACTGCAACAACAACAATAACCTTGAGTCCTCCAGTGTTCAGGCCAACTACATTCAGTGTGGTAGTGTGGTGTTTAACTTGCAGTCCTCTTCTGAGCCCACTCTTCAAAAAGCTAGTAGGATAGAAACACTCTTCTGTAGGGAATTAGAAGTGGAGGTACACAACAGCAGTCAAGTGCAGGAGCAGACAAGTGAAGCTGTTAAAGAAAGTGAAGTAAGGCAGCCCAAGTCGAGGCTTCCAGTTAAAGCATCAGGGTGGTCATTTCACACGCAGGGAACAGCCATAGGCAAACAGAAGCCCAAACAAGTTTTGACGGTTGAGGTCAGGAAAAGAGGAGAGCCAGCCATAGCCAAAGTAGAACCAAGGTCTAGAATACCAATCAAGGATGTTAAAAAGACCAGCCCTGCTGCCACAGCTAGCTCTCTTGCTTCTGTTCGGGTTACCTCACGTCCAACTAGGGCGTTGGACACAGGGAGAGCAGCCATACAGTTGCCCTCAAGGTTACCACTGAAGGACAGGCACCAGGTCAGCAATGTCACAGTTGAGGGAGCATGTAGACAGGCGAGGCAGGAGAATCCTAGTGAGGTTTGTAAGCGCACAATCGAATACTTTAAAGGCATTAGCGGGGAGACGCAAAAGTTGGTGGACCGCTTGTCAGACGAGGAGAAAAAGACGCAGACAGAGCAGTCGGAGGAAGACAGCACCTCCCGGAGCACCTCTCTGTCGGACGCCTCCCAGCCTTCCCAGCCCTCCCGCTCATCCAGGTCTGGTAGAGGTTCGAGGGCTGAGGCCGGGGCCGCGTCCGTAAGGGCAAAGGTGGCGACGACGGACAGGGCCTCCGGCAGTGAGAGGAGCAGGAGGAGTAGGCGGACTGGTGGGAAGGAGGGCAGTCAGGGACTCACAGGGTCTCGAACGCCTCCCATCGCGGAGATCAAGCCTAGTTTGTAAAACTTTCACACTATGTTTAAAATACATCTATATATTTATATATTTCACTTTTAGTTGCATGACATCGTTGTGATCGTTTGATGGATTGACTGGAATGCCTGTGGCGTGTTTACATATTCTCTTCAGAACAGTAGCTGTCATTTAAATTTATTTTTTGTCATTGATGTACTGTGTACTGTATTGTCCTTGTTGCAAGATTCTCTTCTCTCTGTTCCCCCTTTTCAACCCTTTTTAAACCTCGATTTAGTAGATGAGCATGCCAGTAGTAGTGACTGGTCCACTGGCACAACCAGTCCCTTTTTAACAACTCCCTGGTCTGTCTGTCTATCTGTCTGTGCGGGGTGGCTACCAAGTTATTGTAGTAGTTTGTTCTTACTGAATTGTCATTTAAACTAGTGTTGGCAAAGAACACACAAAAGCGTCTTTGCATGTTGACATTTTAGATTCTAACATAGACTTTTTCATCCTAGATTTGTAGAAAAATAAGTCTGTTGTTGAGATTCATGTTATGCTTTGTGTTGTGTGGTTCTCATGACAGTTACTGCCTGCCTAGAGGATACATACCACAAACAGTCACAGAGCACCACTATGAACATATTTAAGTTGTCCATAATGTCTCTGATGTAAAATATCCTTTTCTTGCCATCCTGGGGAAAATTTAACCCATATCACACTTATATACTAACCATTATAGTATCTAAAACACAACCTTGATTAATATTGTTAATTCTGATGAACAAGTGGCCAGAAAAGGAAAAGTATACACATGTTTATTTCTCTCTTACATTAGTGTATAGGGGGAGAGGAATGTGAGGGTATTGATGAGTCATTGTCCTCCATCTTCCCAGGTCCCCAGAGTCCTTGTGAGCGAACAGACCTGCGCATGGCTATCGTTGCAGATCACCTGGGACTCAGTTGGACGGGTAAGAAACCTCCTGCATTGCATCTTTTCTCCCCCTGACTTCCTGTCTTTGGTCCTATCCGTCTCAAACCCTGTTATTTACTGCCATCTTCAGGCTAACAGAGCATATTACCACTCATCTATGCTGTTTTTGTTTAATCATTTTAAAATGTAAATATATGTATTGTACATTACCTTCTGCTGTCTGCATTTGCACTATGAATAAAATGTCAATATTAAAGGTTGAATATTTATGAGTTTCTTTCTGTGTCCCATCACAGAGCTGGCTCGGGAGATGAACTTCACAGTGGATGAGATCAACCACATCAGACTAGAGAACCCCAACTCTCTGACAGCACAGAGCTTCATGCTTCTTAAAAAATGGGTCAGTCGGGAAGGAAAAAATGCCACAAGTAAGACTATTTTTACATTTGAAAATCTTACTCTCTGACTGTCTTTTTATTTCTTTCTCACTCTTTGTTTTGCTCTAGATAAAAGGCACAAAAATGACAAACTTTTTATTCTCACTCAAGTGTTTGTGCAGCTCATCTTAAAGTGCCCTTCTTATTTGTCTTTCTCCGGTCTATCCTCCACACCGTCCTTCTTTTGTATTATCATAACTCTAATATGTCGTGAAGATGCATACATGCACACATATTTGACTCTTCGGAAAATAGTTTTTTTTTTAATTTGCTCCAATGTACAAACTTTGTTTCATCTGATTTCAGGTAACTCAATAACATCTGTGTGTTTTTTTCCACAGCGGATGCCTTATCTTCAGTGCTGACCAAAGTCAATCGGATGGATATTGTGACTTTACTGGAGGGCCCAATATTTGACTATGGTAACATTTCAGGCACGAGATGTTTTGCCGATGATAACGCTGTTTTCCGGGATCAGGCTGATGGTAAAGTTTAGCTCTGTCTAGCTGACCTCTTACCTCTCCCTGCTACCTTTATCTGGTGTGCCAATGCATGGATCACAAATGTTTAGTCCTGATGCAAATCTCTAGAGAGGCTGATTTACAGTCCGATTTGGATTTTGTTTGAACAACTGGCTCCTATACTGTAGTTCCCCACATGCATTCCTGATTAATATTCTTTACAGACATGCCATAGAAATGATTATATTATTCTTCTTATAAATTGCATCGATATATAGCCATGCTTGTAGACACTTGAATTGACTTCTGTTGAATGAATTACCATTTTCATTTAAGGGTAAACATTCCTATACAAATCAAAATAGTGTATCCAGTTGTGACAAATGAGTAATATCCACTATTCAAATCCCATTCTTAGTGCATGCTGCATTCTACGTACTGCTTTAGATGTCTTTGCAATAATGTCTGACCTGAGTAGAAATGATTTAACCCTGTAGAGTCTGCTTTTCTTTGTTGGTTTAGTTTAGTTCTCATAGTTCTCCTCCAGTTCCTCTGAGCCTTCCTTGGATAGATGAGAGAATCTCTTCCTTTGTGAAATCAGGCTGCCTCCTCCGCCTTCTCCTCCTCCTCCTCCTCCTCCTCCTCTTCCTCCTGCCTCCCATCACCTCCCCGCAGCAGTATCTACTGCTGATAACGGCACATAGCAGCTCTTAACAAATCAAGAGTCATGTGCTGCCCTCTCCTTATCCATGCCTCCTCCTCCGCAAACCCTGAGTCATGTAATTCATTCATTGTCTTCTTGTGCACGCATGTTTCACACTAAACAATCTTTTATGTCTTCTTTTCCACTCCTACTCAATTTTTGATTATTTTGCATCCTTTCCCATAGTTTGCATTATTATCCCCCTAACTCCTGGGAGCACTCAAGCTGCCTTCATCCTGCAGCCACCCACCCCCTATTTTCCGACGCTGACCCCTCCACCCACGCCTCTTTCACCGACTGCAGCACCTCCCAGCAGCATCTTTTCCCTGCGCCGCTCTAAGAGTTATGAGTCCTCCATTTTGCTCAAAGACTTGGCACCTCCAGCGCAATTTAAATCGCCCCAGTTCAACTTCCTCTCACCGCCTCCCACCTGCCTCATCCCTCAGTGTCCCCCTGCCGATCCTTTTTCTTCCAACACGCCCTCACCTATCCCTCTCATCACCTCACCATTACCTTCTTCTTCTTTGGTCCCGTCCTCCGCTAAGTCGGTCCCACCCTCCCCCACACTCACCACTCCGGCTCCAATCCCTTCACAAGCTGAGCAAAACCCCTCTTCTTCAACATTATCTGGAGCTACCTCCGACCTGCCCTCTCATACTGCTGCCAACCACGTTGACTCCCCCTCTAACCTCTCTGAACCCCTCACCATACCTGTTTCTTCCACCCCCTCCTCACCCTCAGACATTGCCTCACCCTCTGTCACCCTGTCTCCAACTAAAGAGTCTTCAGTGACTCCGCTGGCCTCCTCCTCTCGCCCTGTCTCCCCTCTCTCCTTATCTACTCTCCCTCCCATCTCTCCCTCTGGGTCCCGTGGCCCCAGCCCTTCCTCCCCTCCCCTCCGCTCCCTGTCTCCCTGTCCTGCATGTCAGTGTACCTTTCCGCCCTCCACCATCCCAACTCGAACACCCATCGACCCTTCCACAATGGAAGCCTTCATTTAGCATGCTTTAACCTTTTTCTGTTTCATCTCCTCCCCCTTTTCCTTCCCACATCTCTCATCCGTCAAATGTCTCATGTGAGCATGTAACCGAACAAAGTATTAATATCTTACACTCATCACAATCCATACAATTAATATGGCCTTACATCACTTATGTATCCCACTTTCAATGTCTTACCTCACACTAACTGAAAATCAAACAACTATTTATTATCACATCATATCTTATTTTGTATTTGTGTTGAAAACGGCATTATTATTTTTTAAACATGCACTTTAAAAAGTATTGCATGTATTTATTACATTTTACTGCATTAGCTTCGTGCATTTACACTTCAGTCTTTGTACCATCTTCCATGTCATACGGTGTTTGTGTTAGGGTGTGTGTGTGTGTGTTTCTCGGTGTGTTATTTTCCTTTGTGGCATGCTTCAGTGGGTGTCTGTCTCTACATTTGTCATCCTGTCACCTACAGATTTTCAGAGCATTCTAGCGGAGCTGCAGTCCCCCGCCGCACTGCACTCCAACCCCAACTTCCTGGAGCCCGAACTCCCCGTCACCCCCAACCCTGCCCTTGCCCACCACCAGCAACACCATTACCCAGACCCAGACACCCCTTTGCTGGCCGACTCCCAGCCTCAGCCCCTGCCCTGGAGCCCGGGGATAGAGAAAGGCGGAGAGCTAGAAAGCCCCCCTAGGAGCCCCCCCAGACCCTGTGAGCTCGCCTTATCCGTCCCAGTCTTTGTCCTCCCTGATCCTATCCCTCCCAAGTTCAGAAAGCCCCACATCGCCCTGAACGACCAGCTGCTTCTGAGCGAGGAGGAGGACAGGTCTTGTCATGAAATGGAGCTGATCCACAGGCCCAAGTCACAATCCCTCCCTGCGATGTGTGAGTTAGACGTTGACATGGCCTACTCCACATCTTCCCCTTCATTCTCATCAGTATCATCAATTACACCTTTATCGCCCGACAGAGCACAAATTGGAGACGGAGGAGTGCAGATGGGTTCCCCCAATTGGGACCAGGAGGATATATGTTTGAAAGGAGGTGAAAAGGAAGTGATAGAGGAAATAGAGAAGGTTGTGGCAGCGTTAGTGGATGGAAATGGATTTGTGGAAAAGTGGGTAGAGCAGGACTTGATTAAAAACGTGGAAAGAAAATGTGAGATGATAACAAAAGATAGGTGCGAGCTGGAAGAGGAGAATATCATCTTGGCAGAAGAGAAGGATATGATAAATGATGGGGATAACGGGACAGCCTGTGAGGTGGAAGAGGTGAGAGATGTGCAGAATCTGTCAGAAGAGCAGCATAATGTGATAGAAATTGGGCATGAAGTGGAAAAAGGTTCTACCTCGGAGGCAGAGGCTGTCAAAGAGGGTATTGATGAAATAGCTGAGGTACAAAAATGTGAAAGGGGCAGTCAGGAAAGGGTCTACCACGATGACAGAGTGGATGATGGACAACTGAGGTTTAAAGAGGACCAAGGGGGTCAGTCTGTAGCTCTCCTCTCCCCTCAAGCCTGGGTTGAGGCACTCGGGGAACGTCAGCCCAGTGAGTCTGAATCCAATGAGGAAGAGGAGGAGGGAGACAAAGAAATCCCAGAAGGATCTCTGTTTGAGGAGGTGGAGAAAGATGAAGGCTCAGAGGACAAGAAGGAGGACGCAGAGATGACTGAAGCTCAGGAGGCTCTTGATCAGGTTGAACAGGCAGAAAAAGAAGTGTGTTCACTTTCAGGTTGGCACAGTGATTCATCCAGCGTCAATGTGGAACCTCCGACGCCCGGCCGCAGTGTCAGCTCCGACCTGCTCGACAGGCGGGAAAGGTAACGTAATGTAACACTACAGGCTCCCTCCTAGAATAACAAAAACATTTGTAGCACTTTTTATGATATTCATGTACAAATGAATTACAAACATATTTATAATGTGTTCTGATTGGCTAATAGCGCGGTATATTCAAAATTATAAGTATTTATACTCATAAATATTCATATTTATTTATACAAATAATCATTACATATATTATAGGGCATTTTTTTTTTTTTATGTCGTCATTTTTGTTCACTTAAAGGAAACCAATGCCCACTAATAGTTTATTATAACCAGCTTGTTATGACAACTTAGAGTAAATCATAATCACAATATAATGCACAGTCCATGTAAAAACTAAATGTGGCATGATGCTTGACCTTTATAAGTCATAAATGCATCAGTTAAAGTGTTCCCAAACTTTTTGCCAACCTAAAATTAGAATGTACCGTTTCCTTCCATTTTCTCTCACAAATCTTTTCATACGATGTCTTTTAGTTCTTGAAGTTATATTATTACATTATAATGTTGTCTTTTTTTACCCAACAGCCAAGAAATCTCCAGTGAGTCCATCACTTCCTCGTCTAGAGGCGAATCAGGGAAGTCCCGACGGAACGGCAACAACTCAAGGCACTCACCTCAGGACCGCTCCTCGGAATCATCGAATGGCCGAAAAGAAGAGGGAGCGTTAGTGTCGGAGAAAAAAGTCCAGGTAATGTTACAAGCAACAATTATAAAACATCTAAAAGAAAATACATTTCATAAAAGTGTGGAAAACCCTCTTTTTTTGTGTTGATACTGAAGACTTTTGTTAGTGCAGGAGACACTCTTAAGGTATAAAAAAACAAATTGTCTTTTTGTAAAGCTGATCTAATTCACATTTTACAATCTTTACAGGCACGTTTTTTGTATTTCTTATGCTCTTATACTTATACTTTTGACTATAGTATGTCAACAAAAAAAACTAAATGTTTGAACCTGGCTTTATCCAGTGTTCGGCTTTCTGGAGTTCTGGAAATGTATGCAAATGAGCATGTTATTTAATCAGATAATGCCTTATTTGCTTCAAACAACACATTTCAGAATGTAAGTAATGAACTTAGCAATGTGTTTTTTTCACCCTTATTCAACCTATTTTACCCATCAGTGTTTTATTCCAGGTTCCTTTTTTTAATACAGCCAGCCGTGATGTTGAAGTACATAAAGGACATCAACAAAATGTCTCAATGAACTAATCCTTCTCTTTAACCAGAGCTTCTTTCTCCTCCTGACTCCCTCCATGTGTTTGTGTACTGACCTTATAAAACCTTCCTCGGCAGCAGGTTAGTGTAGACTCCGGTTCAGAGGAAGAACAGACTGTAACCACCAGAATCTTCAGACGCCGCCTCATTTTAAAGGTACCCCGAAAGCCTGGAGCAGAATCTAGGCTTGGTTTGGTTTGGTTTAGACCGGTCAGTCTGGTGTGCATTGCAGTGGTATTACTGGGTGAAGTGATAGCTACACTCTCTTTGTGTGTTGATACATGTGATAGTCATATTTGAACATGACTATTCAACCTGTTGAGGTGTTATTTTTGGCTGGTTGGTAAAGCTTCATATTGCTAATCCTCTCTTTGATATAGGTTCTTTATGAGGTGTGGTTTCGGTGTGGTGATGGTGAAGTTTTATGACATAAATCAGCCCTTTTGAGCCTGTATTCATGTGCTAACCACAATCACTTTCAGGGAGAAGCAGCAAAGAATGTCCCAGGCGAGTCTGTGACCGAGGAACACTATATGGACCAAGATGGTAACCTCATCAGTAGAAAAGTAATGCAAAACTTATTTTCCACTTCCCATTCAGCTCTGAATCATTACAGGAAGAGTTCTTTTTATGAAAGAGGACACCATCAGATATTTTCTTCTTTTGTCGAACGTCCTTTTTCCTCTGGCAGGTCATCAGGAAGGTTATCCGACGTGTGACATCCCCCACCCCAGAAAACCAAGGAGATGACGGGTGGCTCCAAGACCTCCTGCACAGCCCCACTCTGCAGGAAGAGGGGTCCGAGGTTGGCATGAAGACACCCTTACACTGTGTTCCTGGGTTTGAAGTGTATTCTAGACCGCATGCCTGCATCTATAATTGGAGGTTTACTGCTAATGTAAAGGTTAGGCTTAAAGCTGCACTGGCAAAGACTTTGTTAAAATCACAGAGTGGGGTTACAATAAATTAAATTATTGTAAATATGTGAATACATTATTAATTGCCTCACAAAAAATGTATTCCACAGATTCTGCACTCAGTGAGAGCTGCATGAAACCTCACTAAAGTTATGGAGCAAGCAGATATCTTTGATATTGCCATGCATGTGATTAAAATACATTTCCTAACTTTAAAAATGATTACGAAACAATGTTAAAAGGGAAATCAGGGTTAAAGATGTTGAGAAATAATTAATGTCTCCAAGACAGAACTGCTTATTGAAACCACTTTATTATTAGCATTGTGAAACCTCAATATTACATCCCACTGATGTTCGAGTGCAGCTTTAAGTCAAACAATGAAGTCAAAAAGAGAACCTGTGAGATTTGATCATGTTTCTCCTCCAGCAGTGCAGGTGAAATTTGTATTAACATTTTCACTAACCGGTTCGGGATAACTGACCTCAAAATCTCTTTTATGAGAAAAGATTCAAAAGAGATGAAGCCATTGGAAGCATATTTGTGCATGTTGTGGTTTGACACTGTGTGTTGTGTTTGCCCAACAAAGGGGATGCTGACTGTGTGGTTTTAACAGTCCTCTAAAGGGTTCACAGTAAGACTGAGTGCTGTGACTCTGCTGTGAAAACATAATCTGCTTCTTTTGTTTCTTTCCATAATAATATAACTTCTCCTCCTCCAGGTGTCTGGTTGCTGTGTGGTTTGGGCCTTAATAATAATCCTAACAATCAAACTACTAATAACATTTCCTAGTTTCAGATTGCTCTTCCTACATAACTCTGAAGTTTTTTCTTTCTTCTTTGTCTCAGTTTCAGGTTTGTGTGTTGGGTGGTTTTCCTCCTCTCAAAAGATAAGAATACAGCGTCTAAACTTTATTTCTGTGTGTGTTTTATAGCAAGGAGAAGGGTCACGGAACAGCAGACGAAAAGATGACAGAAGATCGGGGGACAAAAAGCTCCACTCATAGAGAGGCTTGTGCTCTACCAGGTACAGAAGTCTACATATGTATCCGTGTGCAGCATGTTCCTCTCCATTATTGTCCCGTTTCTCTGTGTTTATGATGCATTCTTTTCCATGTGATTACATATATTCATACTTCACCGCTCTATCCAAATTCTTTAAGTTTCCCAGAGTTATATTTCTCTTCTTTAACCCACTCTGCTTTCTTATACTCATATCCTGGCTCTTTTTAGTTGTACTCTATCTCTGCTCACTTCAGTGCTCTGCTCCTGCTCACTCTGTACTCTCTCCTTAAAATGAATGATTCAACATTTTTGGCAAATATGCTCATTTGCATTTTTCGATGAATCTCTCCAAAGTTAAATAATACGCCTACAAGCACCACTAATAAACAAGCTGTGTCTCGTACACAAACAGTAATGCCACAACAACATTGTGTGGTTTTAGGGGGAGTGATGTGCTCTAACCATTTCTTGATAAACAACAGCCGTGCATCACTTCGCGGAGGCATTACGTCACAGTGAGGTTGCCAGGCAACCAGTGAATATGCAGCTCAGAAGTGATTGGCTAAACTGGACCAAATGTTGTCAGAAAGATTAAACAGTGGTAAACGTTCTCTTGTTAGTTGTTTTTGTGTTGTAACTTTTATATAACAAATAGTACTGAGAGATAACATCACACATATGAAACACAAACATCAACTGTATCATCTCTGGTTATTGTAATAATGGTTAGAGTAATTATATAAGTAATAAGTAATTAATTATAAGAATTATTCTGGAAAATAAAAAACAGATTAACAAACAAATAATGGCAAAAATGTAACAAAAAAAGAAAGTAGTTCAATCAATAATATTAACAGGAATAAATCAATTGATTAAATGAAGAGAGAATTTTATATATACTGTATAAACTACTAAAGAGGACGGGGTCTGTTAACAATCTTTAAAAGTGAATAGGCTGATGTCGTGGCTCCTAGCTTCTCTGAGAGAGGAAGTGGGATATAAATGTTTTCCAAACAAACATAAACTTATCTCGCTTCCCTCAAAATCAATTTCTGATGTCACATATGGTTTTAATTTGAGAAGAGGGTTGTTGGATTTTCCATTTGAGATAATTAGTCTAGCTCTAAGAGTAGGGAAGGCAAAGGAACTCGTAGGAAGACTTTAGTGTTTTTTGGGGAAGAGGCTAAAAAGTGCATTGATCAGGCGTTCACATGTGTGTTTATTAAACCAGATACAATGTGTTAAATGTGAACTGAAGATGTGCTGATACTTCTTTTTTAACTTTAGACAGATTCTAGCTTGCTGCTTCCCTATCTGTATGCTAAGCTAATCTCCTCCTGGCACCAGCACTGCCTAATTCACTTACACCAAAATGTCAAACCCTTCCATTAATGTCCCCCTCCCCAGATACCTGCTCTGTCTCACTGACACACAGACTCAGTGCTGGCTGACGTCTGAGCTGGTTATCCCTTAGCAACATGTCTGATTGTGTGTGAATAGGGAACAGGGCTGACAAGCGGCACACACCTCAACAATATAAAGCCCCCTGATACCCTCCATGCTTGTTTTTGTCCACTAAATCCCCCACTCACAGTGGCACAGTAGCATCCAGAAAGAGTTTATTATCCCACTGGCCAGACTGTTAATCCCCACTGCTGTTCAGCCGTGTGTTGTGTTTGCAGTGAATCACTCCATCTGTACAATACTGACTTACAAATAATGTGGCCCTACTGGGAAGCCTGGAAAACTTGTTTCTATGGTAACGGAGGTCACCATAACAACCCACGGACCATCAGGTCTTGTTAACATGTTGACATTTTGTCATACAATGGAGTAGGAGATCGTGACTGTGATTTTCCTTAAAAGCTATTTCCAAAAGTAGAAAAAAATGATTTTGTGAGAGAATGATTACAACCGTTGAAATTAATGTAATATCTATATAAAGATAACATTTCCCTTCAAAATAATTTACATTTGTAGACATTATTGAATCTAAGGTTGCGATTTGTATTGAATTCAAGCAATTGGTCTTGTGTTTTAAATAAAACTAATGACTTTACTTAAGAAGAGGCTTTAAATATACACTGTTTGTCATTTGTTATCTGTTATGTTTGTATATTTGTATATTTTTTTAATTGTGCAAACCATAAAAAAAAGATACATATACAAGAAATGGATAAATGTCTCTAAGTCAGACTGTTAAAACAAGTGAAGACATAACACATATGGCATTCAGTGTTATTCCTGTAAAAACAATTGTATTGTAATCTATACATTTATATCTTGAATTATGCTTCAATATGTAATGTACTTTTTGTGTCTTCCAGGTGTGCAGGAACTAAGTTAGGTGTTTCCTGGAAATACGTTTTCCGAGGGCTCGAGGCTCCGGTGTGAGGACTTCAGGGTCCAGTCTGCAACTTTCTGCTTCAAACAAACGGTTTTCACGCAAGAGGAGTCGACCCTTCTGACTTAGCATTAGCATGACAAACTCACTACCTGTCAACGAAAGCACCGGGAGGTTCTCACTCTTAGCTGTGGTGGACCCGTGGACAATGATTCTGCTTCCTGTTTTGTGTGAAACAATATGTGCCATTGGTCCACTGTTGTTGTGCGAGCTTTTTTAGAGGAGCATCGTTTGTTGTGAAAACGATAAAAGACTCCCATTACTGACAACCACACAGGTGACACTGTGACCAAAGATGGCACAAGAGCTCAGTCCACACGGTGGGTGGAAAGAATGAAGTAGACACAATAACACACAAAAAAAATCCAATGGGACAATTCTGATCCAACTTCAACACTCGCCTTATAGTTTTTTCTTGAACCCATTGTTGTCAGGATGTAAATTGTTTGGGGATTTTTTTTCTTCCTTTTTAAAACTTAAACTAACACAAGAGCTTTTTTCTGTATATAAAATTACAATGTGTAAAATTCTTTAAAAAAGGGTAAGCTACTGGTTGAGGACACACGGAGGAGAGTAACCTTTTCAAGTGCTTTCAAACTTTATTGAAACAGTTCCACTTTTAAAGATTTGAGTGTAACTTCACAGGTTCTTGTATAATTACTTATTAGAGCAGGTATAATGTTTGTACATGAAAAAAAACTGGTTTGATTTTAACTGAGGACATTTCCAGAAAATCGAATTTCAGTAATTCCCAAAGTGGGAATGGATCTAATCCAACAAAAAGCCTTTCAGAGTACTCATATTTTCATGCATGCTGTTCACATTATTTTAAGTACAATTTTTACAAGTTTGCAAACACTGTATTCAAATTACAAATAAAACCCTTTATCTGTGTTCACATATAGCCCTAACATGTCACCAATTTTATATTTTAAATTGAAAAAGGATACCATTTAAACATTTATCACGTCGGGATGAGGATGAAAAAAGTTCTATAGCTTATTGAGGGTGTGATGTCTTGTCTGTCTATGTGAAACGGAGGGCAGCTTCTGCTACGAGAACGAAATAATCTGAATGTAAATGCTGGTAGGCTGGCTCGCTGTAAAATTATAACTGTATTGTGCGTAATGGCTATAAGGTGTAGGAGTCTCTGTACACTGTTAGACTGTTTGTAATCATTTTAGCAGTGTGTCAATTTGGTTTTCTTATGACTGCTGTGGTATTAAAGGAAAACTGGGGCATTTCATTTTTGGATTTCTTTTGTTGAAGTATTTCCTTATTTAAAACCTACTCACATTAAGGTCACATAAAGACATTATTTGATTGTAGCTCTTAATAGCATATTGTATGACAAAAACACTGGATGGTCAAAAACAGTTATTTAAGCATTAAATAAATTGTGTTAAACTCTGAAACTGTGTGATCTTTTTAGGCTTGAGAGTCTGTATATGCAGTGTCGAATAGAAATGTTTTCACTAGCTCATCAGATTTTATTTTACTTTACATAAGGAATTACCTTTGTATTGGTTTTCATTAGATGCCCATGTAGTTCAAGTGTGGTGTTCTACTGGTGCGGTGGCTCAGTATGCCGATGTCTATGCTGTGGACAAGGAAACTATGTAACTTTTTTCTGGGAGGGGCGGGGGTTGTAAAGGAAGTCAGTTAAAGCGCTGAACCACATCCCCTTATACTATGTCAATCAGGGGGTAGAGGATCCTTTGATATGGCTGAACTGTCAATTTTGTTTGATATGTGTTTTCACCTGAGCAGATTTTTTGATGTACAATTCTTACTAACAGAGTGAAGCCATTGAAATGTAACTATTCTAGCACTTTGGTTATTCAAGGTCTTTTAGAGACTATAGCAGCAATGATGCCACCACAAATGTTTCAGACGTCTTTAAAAAAATCAACCTAAAAAATTCAAAAAAAATAAAAATGCATTGATTTCGCAATACAATTGTTTCTGTTCTTGTCTTGTGTACTTTTTCATTATATAATGCAAGTGATTAATGATGTGAGAGACTCTGCCCTTCAACCACAGTCATGTGACTTGAGCAAAAATCGCCAGGGCTGCTTGTCTCTACTGCCTTGTGCGACCAGGAAACAAACGTTCCCTATGAGGATATTGCTCATTTATGGTGAATATGTAACTTATGGAATGCATTTATATAGCCCAAGGACACTTTGACGTGTGGACAGGAGGAATAAGGGATGCAATCGCTAACTCTGGACAATAATGACAATTATAAATATTTTCAAAGCAGTCCCATCAATATCTCGTACTGTATGTATGCCTTTTTTAACAGTGTATATACCCCTTTAAGTGCACATTGTATGCAGATAATAACACAGTTGTTGCTATAGTAATTACTTGTAAAATGTTAATAGCCTACTGGTGTTATTGTCCAATTACAGAATCCGGAGATTCAAAGGCTTTATTGTCATATGCACAGTAGTGTAGTTATGGCAATGAAAAATCTTAAGTTCCAGGCTCCTCCAACAATGCAACATAAATATATATAATAAGACATAAAACAGATTTAATAATAACAGTGCTAGAAGAAAGGCTAGAAAGTGTGCAAGACTATACTGCAGGACCAATTACTTAACTATTAGGTTAAGTCAAGCATGCGACAATAAACCAATTATAACCAGAGTTGGGAAGTAACTAAAAACATTTACTTCAGTACTATACAATTCAATTTTGAGATACTTGTACTTTACTTGAGCATTTAAATGTTATGCTACGTACTTCTACTCCACCAAAATTCACAGGTAAAAAAAAAGGACTTTAGTTATACCTGGGGGTAAATTCACAAGCTACCCAGCAGCATACAGAGTTATTAAAATTAGCTGCACCAGCTTTGATAAACACATTATTGCATCAATATGGAATGGATAGAAAATGCATAATAAGTACTTTCCCTTTTGGTACTTCTAGTATATTTTGATGCTTATACTTTTGTACTTTTACTTGAGTAACATTTTGAATGCAGGACTTTTACTTTTAACAGAGTATTCCTACACTCTGGTACTAGTACAATATCTGAGTACTTCTCCCACATCTGGATAAAACAGTATGTATAGGGTTCAGGTGAATGTGTCACTGATGCATCATGCGGTACTGGAGACTTCCTGCTGGTGGCGCTATGCCCACAGGAGTGAGCAAGGTCACACGGTGTACCATTCTGCTGTCTGCTGCTCGACGCTGCAGCTGCTCTCTGTCGCACAGCCATGGCCGACAGCGCAAGCGAGAGCGACACCGACGGAGCGGGGAGCAGCTCGGCCACCCCGATGTCCTCCTCCGCCTCCAATTCGGGGAAACCGAGCATAGTCATTTCACAGTTTCGTCTGGAGGAGCTAACGAACCGCCTGGCCTCCTTACAACAGGAGAATAAAGTTCTTAAAATTGAGCTGGAGACGTTCAAACTCAAGTGCAAAGCCCTGCAGGAGGAGAATCGGGACCTCCGCAAAGCTAGCGTCACTATTGTGAGTAACGTTAGCTAGCAACATAGCTTAGCTAGCTGGAGGCTATCCACTTATTCTGTTGCATTTGTCAGTGAGTTGGCTATGGTTAGTGCTGTTCGTTTATCGCTAAATAGTCACACATGTGTTGTGTTACATGGACATGTTATCTGCATTTGATCATAAAACACGCTGTTGTTGTGCTAGCTCTGCTAACGTTAGCTAGTTGGGTATGATGCTAATTTAGCCAACGGGCTAACGTGTGCTAGATGCTTGGGCAGCTACTTTGCTTTGTTTTGTTTTGCACATCCTGGTAGGCTCAACGGGCACCTTAAAATGCGGTAAACAATAGGGTAGGCTCCTCACAAGTTACCCGACTGATGTTAGCTAACGTTATCTGGTCAGCTGTAACTCACTGCTAGACATTGCCACCACGTTATGCCCAGCCAGGATACGCTAACCTGGTGAAACTAAATAGCCCAACAGCAGCAGTGGCATGGACTGATGCGTCATGTCTTCAAGCTCGGTTAATCAGCTTCATAAAAATGTGTAACCGATCTGTGGGATAGATGGGAAGTATGTAGGCCAAACTTAGCGAGCTAGTTGGATGCCAGGCTCATATGATGGCCAGTCAGCCTCAGAGACAGCACCCTGTCCAGCCTCTGTAAATGTGTGAGGCTTTCAATTGTCTTTGTCATTGTTGTTGAACAACTGACACATTCTACCGGCTTGCAAAAAACAGAGTTTAGCTTTGAGGTGGAGAATATGAGAGTGGTGCTAACAAGGACAGGCTTATCATCACACTGTAATGCTAGCTGTTGTAACTGCCCAACACATTTCCTTAGTGCATCCATCTTTCACTCAGTCATTCACCCATTACTGCAATACCACTTGAGTCATTAGGGGGAATTCTGCTTCCTCTTTGGCTTGCACACTTCACTGCAGCAGCTTTGGGTTGATTGGTTTGTGTGTATTGCAGGTTGTTGGTCGATTTAATCAAAAATCAAATGTGAAAATCAAACAGTGTGATGTGCAAGATCTAAAATGCTATTTTGCTAATTTTTGTCTCATTTGTTTCTGTCCTGCAGCAAGCAAGAGCAGAGCAGGAGGAAGAATTTATCAGCAACACCTTGTTCAAGAAGATCCAGGCCCTCCAGAAGGAGAAGGAGACCTTGGCCGTCAACTATGAAAAGGAGGAGGAATTTCTTACCAACGAACTGTCAAGGAAACTCATGAATGTGAGTAATGGGAGCAGGACAGGATAAGAACAGTTTTAATACGCTTGATGTATTGCTTCATACCAGGCACCATTGAGAGTATTCTATCATCAGTTTATCCTTTCACCCTTCATGAAAATATCACTGTGATACAGAGAGACATTTTCTAAATGTTCATTATGCAAAGTGTTTGCCTGCAGGATGGTCAAGTGGGTTAAGCTTGCTAGTTCGGTCTCTGTGTGCACACACAACTCCATGTATTTTGCATTATCATCATCTTGCCTGTAACGGCTCAACATGACTTCACTGCGGCTGCTAGCTACTCTAAAGGACTCTCAAATTACTCACCTCCTGTCTGTCAGATGTCTGGTTCAGTCTGTTTTCCACATCTTATTTTCCCAAATGCAGAGTGCACAGCATGAACACTCATGTTTTCACACCTTTTAATGGCTAGCTGTAGGCTGACTAATGGTTTGTTGATGTGTAAAGAATTGAGTCTTGAATGGGCACACAGATGCCTCAGCAGCCCTGCTTAGGGTCATACAGATGGACATGTTTTGGATGTTGTTGTCTTGCCTCCTTACTTAACATAAAACAGACATGTAGAGTTGGTGCTGACAAATTGGCCGTTAGTGTGTGTATATACCTGTATATTCAGTACACATCTATGTGTATGTCTGTGAAGGTAGAGGGCAAATGTAGTCATTTGTTTCACATGGTTTTGTGTAAATGGTCCTGTGCAGAAGCACTTTTGTAAACAACTTGGTGTGACCTTTTTTTTTCTGAGCCATTGCTTTTGATGGTGGATTTGTTTTGCTTTTAGTCATCTAATGATGCCAATAGACCTCAGCAGGTATTTGAATAAGTGCAAACTTTTTATCCTACTTTATGACCCATACGCTGTCACTTTAGTTTACAATGTAAATATAGGTTTGTCTTTTTATAGTGGAAGCTGATACAATAAAATATGCCATAATAAAGGGGAAACCGTCACAGTGGTACACTGCTACTGTTGTGGTGTTGCTTACAAACAGCCTCTGGATGAAGGACAGATGGCCCAAGTGAGATAAAATATCTCTGCAAGGTGTCCTCTCCATAGGCTGAAGAAGAACTGATATACTTGACAATAATTGCCACTCAACACACAGTACAGTAGGGTGGAGGCCTTATAAACAGTCACTGGCAGTTGTACTAGCTGAAAGGAGGCACGTTATTAAAACAATTCCTATAATTGTTGGTATGTCAATTGGAAGCAAAATGGCTGCACTGGGTGTGGCAAAACTTGGTGGTTTGCAGGGTACTGCGGGGCACTCGACAGTAAGATTGCATTCATTATAAGTTTATACAAACTGCCTTATTTTCAGGGGTTCTATTTGTTTCTGTATGCAGCATAATGGAAATGTTTTTTCCCCTTTCCAGTCTTTTCCTATGAATGAATTGACATCCCTTTCCCTGTAATGAGTAATCGCTTATATAATTCATCACACAGCCATCCCGTTTTGAATCAGTGCTGAGCCGCACCCTTTCTTTGTATTGGTGGGCTGCCAAAGGTGGTGGCTTTTGTTGCCAAATCATTATTTCACGCTATTTACCCTCATGGAAAGTTTAACCATGAATCTGGTAGAATTGTTACATTGGCAATCTGTTTTGTTATACTCTCAATGTGTAAGCTCAATGTGAAGATATGACACCACTGTGTTTGTTCGCTGTGGTCATGCATAGTTTTTATGTGACTCACCGTGAGTCTCTTCTTGTGCTCTCTCCCCTCTCCCTTCTTTCTCATCTCTCTGGTTTCATCCCTCTCCTCCTCCATTCCTCTGTCCATCCTCTCTTTTTCCTATCACAGCTCCAGCATGAGAAAGCAGAGTTGGAGCAGCACTTGGAGCAGGAGCAGGAGTTCCAGGTTAACAAGCTCATGAAAAAGATCAAAAAGATGGAGAATGAAACTATCTCAAAGCAGCTAACCCTGGAACAGGTATGCAAGAGGATTTCAGCATCCAGTGTGGGAAAACATAACCCTGAATGTGTGTGGCCAGTTGTTGTGAGATGCCAGGAATTCACAATCACCAACCCCTCCCACTTATCTAGAAAGAACACTGTGGTCTGTGGATGAGACAAACATATTCCGAGCATGTTTCCATGCTCAGATGATGGATGTTCTGTAGATTTTGATGCAAGCATTTATTGTTGCTGCTCATTCATTAGTGTATATATGCCGAATGATGCTTGTGTAATCACAATGTGCATTTTGCCCAAAAAGAGGTGTACTTGAATGTGACTTAACTCCACCACAAAAAAAACACTGATTAACAGCTTGTTTTACCTTTAGGACCACTTTATATCAGCAATTAGGAAATCATTATAGGCTACTCTGCATCACTGCGGCTCCATCACAAGCTGTGCAAGATGTAGCGCTGTGAAAGATAAGCTTATCTGTACAGAGACCTTGCAGTGGTCTATTTGTGTGCAGTCCTGTGAATTCTTCTCAACGTCAAGGTCTTTCTATCTCTGAACGTCACTCTCCTCTCTCTTTCTATCCTCTAGCTGAGGCGGGAGAAGATCGACCTTGAGAACACATTAGAGCAGGAACAAGAAGCCCTGGTAAACAGACTGTGGAAACGCATGGACAAGCTGGAGGCTGAGAAAAGGTTAACCATTTAAGAATCTTGCGGTTCTGGATTTTAAAGCAACATCTTCTGGTTTCATCAGTGTATCATCTGTTGATGAACTCATCTAGACATTGCCAAATAGTTTCAGCACTAGTTATAACTATTGAACCTGATGGGCTGGCTGGGGTGTATATTTGTAAAATACCTACATCAGTCGTAACTTTTCTTTTATTAGGGCTTTAATACGTCTAACATGTAGGAAACGTGAATATTGCCGGTTTGTCCGTTTTTATTTAATGGTAAATCAAACCCAAAATTATGCTTTTGTGTAGATATACATAATATGTCTTGACCCATTTCTGACTGACATACACACACACACATTCACAGGCAATCCCTGCACGTCAGCAGAAACAAGTGACAATGGAAATGTACTAATGTTTGATTTACTGTAGCTTTGGGTTATTTGTACTTTTCAGGGTAAAGTTTGTAAAAGAGTGAATTAAGAAAGCTGGAGAATTACCTCCTGAAGGGCCTCTTTATTTATGTAATGTGTTAGTCAATTCAAATCAGAACCGTTAAATGCATCAAATGAGGAAGTGGTTCAAATAGTCTTGTATTTATCAGTTTCTATCCAGTCTTGTGCAAACGCTAGGGGATTTCAATAGGTTTTATTTTTAAAAAGCTTGTCATCATGCCCATGATTTCTGTTCACGAATCACAACAACGTATGTTTTTTTTTTTGGTTTTCTAAACTAGAATCCTTCAGGAGAAGTTGGACCAGCCCGTCTCTGCTCCTCCCTCCCCAAGAGACGTTTCCATGGAAATAGACTCACCAGAGAACATGATGCGGCATATCCGTTTCCTGAAGAATGAGGTGGAGAGGCTTAAGAAAAGCCTGCGCACCACCGAGCTGCAGCGTAAGTGGCCCCTCAACTTGTCACATGATCCAAAGCAGTGCACGCTCTGAAGGGGCAGATGTCCTCAAGTGTTGTTTAAGGGCGTGATTGGTTAAACTGATCCTCTGATAAACTATGAGGGGCCCATTCACCCTACACCATCGCAGGGGTTGTTTCCATAGACCAGAAAGAACAGGATACTCTGGCCTTATCTGAGGCGGTTTACATCCTAGTTACCTCCTTTATCATTCACTGGTCACATTACACATGGTGATACTTGGGGGTATATGAAGAAGTGGGACAGCAGAGCAAGCCTCCATTGAGACTTTCCAAAAATATCTACCTTTTTTAAATGCTTAAAAAACTATACATCATAAATCTACACATACTTAAACTTGATGTTGTGTTTTTGTATCTGACAATGTTGCCAGCTAGTAAAATATGAAATGAGAAGAGACCCAAAACCTGCAACACTTAGTTGTTTTGTTAATGAATGCACTGGGAAGAAAGAGTTGTTTAAAACAAGTGCAGATAAGATACTTCAACGATATGGACTATCAAATATTCTCTATGATTTGTTGCCTATTTTATATAGGGTTTAAGACTGAAAGGTAGAATTTCATACCGTTCTCAACGGGAACTTTACAAGGAAGATTCAGGATATGTGGTTCTTTAAGTTGATCAAATAGAATTGAGTGAAATAACTGAAATGCAAAACGTCTGAATACATCCACTTACAACTCCTGCCTCCTGGATACATCCTGATGGGGTTTATGTTTTTAGGGAGCATACGTGACCTCTATTGAACCAGCTAGACTCAGAAACAGTATCTAGTGATTTAAGCAAGAAAGAATCAGCACAGCTTTCCAATTTCGTAATTTGTTGCTTGTAACATTGCATTGAAATTATATCGTAGATATTTTGTTACCAATATGCTTCCATTTTTACTTTTGGATCACCTTCTATTTTCCTAACCTTGTAAAAATGTAATACTGGGATATGTTTAACTTAGTCTCTGACGTCTGTAACAAAGTGTACTTGAACACGCAATAACTCCACACTATTTCTTCTCAGTATCGCTCTACATGAACATGTCTCTTCATCTCAAACCGTCCCATGTGCTTTAATATACTCCGTCCATTATTCTAAGTTAGTCATGGTTATTGCATTATCAACTGAGTTTGCACATTGAGATGGTTTACTGGTTCTACTAAAGCACATAGGGCGAAGACAAAAGTCCCTCGCAGTTCAACAGCACAGCAGCAATCACTATGTTGATGGTTATAATAACACTTGTTTGTTGACAGTCAGACGTGTTAAGCTCTATATCTTATACTTAAATGCTTAATTTATGTATATAAATCTCAACGCATGCTGGGAGTCTCTCAATTATTCAATCCTTTGTTGCTGCCACTAGAGGGAGATGTGAGTCCACCCTTCAAAAGATGCTTGAGGAGATATGACATAGCTTACTTTATAAGCCAATGTGTTTGTATGTTGGGGTTTGTGTTACATGTGAACAGTTTTTAGATTAAGGTCTTGATTGAGTGCAACCACTTTGACATTTCACAAATTAATCCAGTTTTTGTTAATGTTAAAATATAGTGGGCAGGATGTGACCTTGACAATATCGTAACTTTTATTTTCTGCGTTTCCCCCCACAGACACAGAGAAGCGTGCCCAGTACATCGAGGAGGAGCGACACATGAGGGAGGAGAACATCCGGCTGCAGAGAAAGCTTCAGAGAGAAATGGAGCGCCGGGAGGCTCTGTGCAGACAACTGTCGGAGAGCGAATCCAGTCTGGAGATGGACGATGAGAGGTACTCGGTCGGACACACAATTAGTCATTTAGTCAAAAAGGTCCAAATATTTTAATGTCACATGTGTTAGAAATTCAAGTGAGGTGGTGGAGGGATTCTTTTTTAGTAAATGCCATGGCTTGTATACTGAAGAGTCATTTGGGCACCTGTTGCTGATTTGATGAAAGACGTTTTAACCTGTGAGGGTGGAAAGATGTAGGATCAATAGAGGGAGAGATGCAAAAGATACCTCTTTTAATAGTATTCTTCGTTTGTGTCGTAGTTTGTTTTTGATAAGCAAGGTAACAACGCGATGTCAGTTAAGCTGAGAAACTAAATGTTTTGAATGTTTTGTGCTGCCATGCTGTTTTGATTCAGGTGCTAGCTGCCACGATTGCTTTAGAAATGAGTGTCGATACTAGGGGTGCAACAACTAATCGACTTAATCGATTAAAATCGATGACCAAATTAGTTGCCAACTAATTCAGTCGTCGATTCGTTGGTGACGTCATCACGTGTGTTTTACGCGCCATTAAGCTCCCACGTTATCGGTCTTTTTATCGGTACTGGAGACATTTAAAAAATATGTCATATGTATTATTGCTACATAAACATTATATCGCAGTCTTAGTGTCGCCAACTCGTTTCTAATATGCAAAAAGACAAAAAAATGCGTCAATTATGTATTTTTGATCTTTCCCCCGTCTGTGCGAGGGGGCGGGGCAGCTTACACACACGCGGCTGCTACATGCATGCAACACACAGCGGGGATGGCGGAGAGAGGCGCTCCAAGGTGTGGTTAAATGTTACCCGTCTTGAGGTGGACAATGCTCGATGCCAATAGTGCCATAAGAGTTTAGCATGTAAGGGCGGTAACACGAGCAATTTGTCTAAACATTTAGCAGAAGTGCACCACATCCAGACGGAGAAATGCACCGGGTTCGCCTGTCTTTCTAGTAGCTCTGTAGCCCCATCCACGAGTAACTTTTCCACGTCAGCAACACACGGAGTTGACAAAATTATACAAACATGGGTTAATGATTAGAGGTAACGGAGTTATTTATTTTGTTAAAGTTTCAGCTATTCTGTTTACAATTCTGTTATCACATTATTTATACGATTTGTTAAAACATTGTTGTTTCTTTTGATGTGAAATATTATTGATTTAATTTAAATAAAAAGCAATGTTAATTTTGTTCACAATTTGTTTAGTTAATTTAATAATATATGTATTTTTGAATCAAGTATTCATCGTCATTGTTAGTTTCCACATGCCTTAAACAACCTCAAGCTAAATCTAAAAGTTGATGGCTAAATAAGAGCGTTTGAGAAATTGTTCAAGGCATAATAGTCCGAATAGTCGATTAATCGATAGATTAATCGATTATCAAATTAGTAGTTTGTTGCAGCCCTAGTCGATACGGGAAGGCATCAAAATAATCAGCAGTAGTTGAGTTTTATTTTGCCAGGTCTTTGTTAGCTTGATGTAATTGAAAAGGAGCCGAACTATCATGACAATTTAAGACAAAGTCTGCATTCATTCTTTGAGCTAACAGAGCACATTTGGACTCTTATGTTTGATCGCTTTTCCTACTGGCAGTCATTACACTCAAAGCTCAGGCACCCAGATGGTTCTCTGGTTCGTTGTGAAAACAGGACAGGACTGTGAGTTGGCTATGATGGCTCTAAGGCATGACATGCCGTCACAGGAACACCCAAACAATGCTCCTACCTTGGTATGAGATACTGTTACAAGTTTCAGTACTGTAAACATTGCATCATTATCTTTTTATAGCAGCCGTTACACTGAGTTTATTGCTTGTTCTCTTTTTAATTATGTCTAATAAGCTTTTATGATCCTTATCGTTCTTTCAGTAGCCATAAAGAACCTTTTCTACTTTCCATTTTAATCATTGAAAGTTGTATTAATTGCAATCAGAAAATCAGAATTTTCATTGAATGACCTCATCTCCTCCTCTCAGGTACTTCAATGAGATGTCTGCACAGGGCTTGCGAGCGAGGACCGTGTCCAGCCCCATCCCCTACACTCCCTCCCCCAGCTCCAGCAGACCCATATCTCCTGGTAGGTCGTTTTAAGATGGCCACCTGAGGATATAAAGCTGTCGACAAGTAATTTATCGTCAAAGAGACTTGACAACACATCTATAAAAAGGACCTTTAATATCGGTCAATACATTTGTTTCCAGAAAACAAACTTTGACATTGTACCAAAGCGTATTATTGAAATCCGTCATATCTAGTGTCGAATCTCATACAAACATTCATTGATAAGATGGAAATCTTTTAAAGGTCAACTCGACCATGAATACATTCCCAGACTGGATAACAGTGAAGTAAAAGGGCTTTGCCATTAGTGTCTTTCCCTCTTCATTAATACATCTGGCTGCATCTGTTGCCCACTGTTTCTTCAGGAATCAGGAGAATCATAAAATGTCATCATGCCTGCTTGCCAAATGCCTTTATCTGATTTTAAGGTTCTCAATACAGAATGATCTCGGAGCTAAAGAGCTCACAATGGTACAAACAACGTCTAACAGTTTTAACCTTAAGGGTAACCAGAGGGTGGGTGCTACACTTAAATAACAACGCAGTGGTTCGGAAAGAGTTTATCAACCGTAACGGCCATATGAGCACAGTGAGGAGGGGCAGCCATTACCTGACTGAACACACACACTCGCATGCATTAACATGCTTGCACGGGAGGCTCGGTTACACAAACAAAGCAAAGAGAAGCACAGGTGTCAACACACAAAGAGGCTCAGGTAGACATTACTCCATTATGTCTTAAAATGGCAAATCATTGTTTGCTGCTATCTCACTCCTCAAATATGAAATCAAGAACTTTTAAGATTTATAAAAGACAGTGCTGTTACATTTTTAGCGCAAAACCAAACAACCAATTCAAAGCTTGAAGTGAATTGGGCTCCTGGTGTTGTTATCATCAAAGTGAACGAGTTGTTGAAGCTGGCAAATAATGGCATCATATATAATATAGTTCAATATATTGAATGACTGAGCATGTTGCTAGAAGGAGGAAAATGACTGTCAAAATAAACAACGCAGAAAACATAATGAAGAAATGGCACGTCAAAATGTATATATTTGGCATTCATGATGAAACGAAACTCCAATCTGCCATACTGCACTGGCATTCAGGCAAATCCCTAGAGGTGTTGTGTCCTAACACAAGGACACAAAACATAGGGAGTTATTCCGTGTCTGCTCAATTGTGTTGGTGTGATTCAGCAGGATATCAGATTACAGCCTAAATGTTTGCACAGTGATAAAACGGATTACAGGTGGCTGAGCACTGCTGTTTCACCCTTCTGTCTGCCAGCTATAAAACGCATGGTTCCTGATGTCAGCTGTTGAATAAAGAATTAGCTGCAGTTCATTATAAACAACCAGAGTTTATAGTTAAATATACTGACGTGGAACACTATGTGCTAGTTTCTCTTCATGTGTGTCTCCCTGTCTCTCTCACAGGTCTGTCATATGGCAGCCACACAGTGGGCTTCACTCCTCCGGCCACACTGTCCCGAGCCGCCATCTCCCACTACAACACCCCCGCCCTGCTCGTCCACGGGAGCTCCTCTCACGCCGTAGCGGTAAGTCACACCAACACACACACACCTCCCAAACCCAGGACCTCACAGGCGTTTATTTTTAATACTTTACTGACTTGATAACCTGTCTTGAGTACGAAGGTAAAGCCAAATCGTTTGGAAAGTAAGTAATAAAATGCCAAATGAATTTAATCATAAGAAGATCCATTCTAGTTATCCAATTGGGGACGTTAAGAAGCGACATGTAGGCTTTTTGAAAGTGTCGGTGTGATCTTAGCAATACATTTACTGAGTGAGATGTTTGGTTGTTATTATCGGCAAAATTACCTCAGACTTGGCAAAACATTTTTGATGTTTAAAGGTAGGGTAGGTAAGTTTGAGAAACCGGCTCGAGATACACTTTTTGTTATATTCCATGGAATGCTCTTAACATCCCGATAGCAATGAATATCTTAAGTGCTTTGACAAAAAATCCATAAAAAAATGTCATCTGTGGAAGCCGTAGTACTGTAAAAAGCACGACCAATCATTTTAGCCGGCCTGGCTAAAATAACTGGATGGCCTACCTGCCTGTCAGCCTTCCATCTGTGCACAAACTTATCTCGTGCCCTCATTGGTCATGTGCGCGTTCGTGTGTGTTGGAGGAGGGGCTCTATAAGGAAGTGGCAGATTTTCTCCGGTTGTGTATTTTCAAATTCTAGCGATCTCGAGCCGGTTTCTCAAACTTACCTACCCTACCATTAACAATAAACGATAATAAATAAATGAAATAATTATTCCACGGCACATTGCTTATTCTCTTGGTGAATTTGCGGCCCTGCCTATGAGGCCAGTTTTGTTGCTAATACCTATTTCTGTTCTTCAGTGAATATTTGGAATTAAATGATGACTAAGGTTAACTGCTTTCTTATAGCTGTTATATAAACGTGTTTACATCCACTTCTGATAAACCTCATAATACTCCCTTTTCTATGTATTTAAATAAACTTCAGAACAGGGTTAACAGTCCTACATTGTTCACCTTTTATGTGTGCGTGTGAACATTTGCTGATCTGAAACTGTCACAGAGATGTTGTTGCATCGTATATAATTACATTTATGCTATGCTCAATAAATGTTCCAAGGTACAGTCGACTGTACTTTTATCTTTTCAACAGAGCAATATCTTAATCAAATTACCTTTTATGAGTCATATGCTGTATTTCTTCAGTAACTTATCTTGTTTTGAATAAGATCTAATACATTGTCCGTTTGCATTTATCCTAGCCAAACGATGACTATTTACGTCAATTTGGGTCATATCCTTAAAGTGTGTGTTGTTGTTATCTAATACTTTAATGTTTCTTAGTTATTCTTAGTATTTCTTTTTGTATTGCTGTTCATTCTAATGGGATTATAAAATATTCTTATTAAGATTCATTTTGTTAAAGGATGCTTTGACCTTGTGGTTGTGGCGAAAAATGATTTATAAAGAAGAGCTGCCATGATTATGGGTTTAGTATTTAGTTGAGAGGGGACTTTTGAAGATAAGAATAGGTGCACTCATCCAATAATTAATGCAATACAGTTATAATATAATACAAAGTCACATTTGCAGAACTAAAACGGAAGACATACTGTGTTTGCAAGTTGTCTGGGTCAGCCACATCTAGAATTGTGGTCAATTCGGTGGACGCTCAGGACTTTAACTTGCATGCAATTTGTGTCTTTACAAAAAGCCTCCTCAAATGCACTTCAGCCCACTGGTTAGGTAGCAGTAGGGACAATACCAAAAAACACCATGCTGAGCATACACAACTTTCACAAGCATCCATGTATCAGCTGTGTGGGATGTTTTTGTGCTTGGTTCCCATGCTTAACACGTTGTTTTGGAGAAATAACATTTCTAGGAACAGGCTGTAGTGATGTTAGTCAGAGAGAGGGCTTCATTTCATTTCAAACCTTTATTTATCCAGGTGAATCCCTTGAGATCATTGATCTCTTTTTCAAGGGAGACCTGCTCACTGTTAGTCTTAAGCAAGAATTGAAAACAAGAGTGTAAGAACTCCTCTTTGGCGTGGCTCAACATGTCCTCAAGCTGACCGTCTGTTCTGTAAGTGCTGTTTGGGTCACTGTGACCGCTGTCTACTTGCGTTCCTATAGTCTTGGAGTCTTTTTGTTTAACAAATAACTTTGTTTAAAATATAGTTTAGCATACCATCGCATATGGCAGGGCTATTCAATTGGCGGCCCGCGGGCCAAATCCGGTAGGTGGGCTCGGGTTTCGAACCCACCTACTAGCTACTGTAGTGACAACTCCTGTCATTTATTGCATCTCTGCGTGAATGATTAGATAATTTCACCTAAATTAAATCAAATGAAATGATGTTGATGGTTAAATTAGCTTCACATGTAGGCCTACTGAGTTCTGAACTTGCCATTTAGATCTATAAAGGCCTTGGGGCTATGTTGTTTGATTGAATTAAACACAATATATGCACTCCACTATGCTGTTGTAGTATTTACTGTATCCGAAGCTCTTAATATGATTGCTCATATTTCAAGCCATCTTTTTCCCGGCCCCTTGCTTTGGATAATTTTTTTGTGTTTGTTTATTTATTTAAAGGAGAGGTGTCATGCTTTTCCGGTTATTACCCGTCCCCTTGTGTGTTATGAAGCTTTTTATGCATGTAAACGGTGTGCAGAGTCAAAACCCTCAAAGTACACCCTGTAGCGAGTAAAACTCTAACACAGAAAATACCTCCCCAAAACGCCTCGTTGGAGATACGTCATTGTCCATTTGATTCTTCCGGGTACGGCATGATGTCAACCCGTACCCGGAACGAAATGGACCAATCCGTGGAGCCGTTACGTTACGTCCGTGGAGCCGTTGCGTTACGTCCGTGGAGCCGTTACGTTAAGCCCCCGCTGATTGGTCCAAATTGACCAATCCACGGACTTCCTCACACACACATCTGTGTGCAGGGAGCAGGGAGCTCAGCTGATTTCTCCTCCCTGGCTGCAGGCTGATAACAGACAGTTGGGATCGCGGCGAAATTCTCTCTGCAGACCCATTCTCACAGCGTTTATCAACCTTTTTCTTACTCAATATCAAGCCACACTTATTGTTTTTACTTCGGCTGTGACTTTGTGTGTGCTCAGGATGAGTTTGGCTGTGTTTCGCTATGTATCCTAAACAAGGAAACAACACCTCCACGGAGCTCAGCGCGATTCACAACGTCCCGACCAATCAGAGCACACTGTGCTCACAGGGAGGGTGGGGGCTGGAGCTATTGGAGCTACAACGAGCCGTTAAAGGCAGAGAGTGAAATTCAGTGAATACACGTAGTTTACAGAGATGCTGTATGAGAAACCAATGTGAGTTTGGAAAAAAGCACAATATAAATCTATTTTAGTAGACCTCAACAATGGAATTATGATCAGTGGAAATGGCCATGACACCTCTCCTTTAAAGGACAGTGCACATTAATCCACATTGCTGTAAATGAGCCAGTATTAACCAGCAGGCTAATTTTCAACTGTTGTCCTTGGCAAGATGTTAAATAACCACAACAATACTAGAGAAATAAAAACATAATTAAAAAGAATACAACAGACAACAGCAGTACAACAATAAATAGCAGTACAACAATAAATAGGAACAGCAGTACAACAATAAATAGGAACAGACAAACATGCAAACAGATGAAATACTATCATATACTATGATACAGTTAAGTGTTCACATTTTTGTTTGCTTAAAAGCCAGTTCTTATGATTGTGGTTAAATGTATGATAGGAGGTGTTATTCCTTATCTGTATCGGTATTGTGTTCCAAAATGTTCATGCCCTCACAGAGAAACAGTGTTTACCAAAGGAACTGGACCTAAGAGGGACCACACAGTCCCCTCTTAGGGCAGACCTTGTGGTTCTGCTGTTTGCATTTTTCTGCCGTATAAAAGTGGTGGGTGTGCCTTGCCGTTTATAATCTTAAAAATGAGACATGCATCCGTGTGTTTTAAAAGATGTTCACAGCTGAGCAGGTTATGTTAGTCCAGGATTTTGCAATGGTGGTATAGCTTAGGTTTTCTGTCCAAAACTTTGAGAGCTTGTTTGTGAAGTGATAGGATAGGCCTTAATGTTGTGCTATTCACCTGGGTCCAGCTGGTCATACAGTATGTTAGGTGGGGAATGATCATGGCAGTCATATAGAGTTTTGCTACAGGTGTTGTCAAACAGTTCCTTATATATCTAAAGTTTGCTAGATTGTATTTAGTTATTTGCATTACCTTTCTCACTTGTTTTTTGAAGGATTTTCATCAACCGGCCCCCATTCCAAACTAATTGAATAGCCCTGGCATATGGTTTACATTCAAAACATGATGGTATATTTATGAACAGGCAGCTGTTTGATCAAGTCACTGATTTAATAATACTATGTTATGCTCTAATCCCTTTCTATGGAGCCTATCCAGCCCAGACTTCGACCTTTGTTCCCACTGGTCTGTGAAGTTTTGTTCCTCCATCTCATGTTTTCTGCCTCTCTGGTATTTTACATCCATCCATGTTCTCTTGGTGCATGTGGATGGTACAGACCACATCTCTCCCAACACCATCAGCCCACCCAGGACCTTAACAAGGGAATAATTCAATCGTGGAGAACTGAACCTCAGACAGATTTCTTTTTTCTCTGAACCCTTTTTTCTCTATCCATTCCTCTGTCTGGAATTACAGGACTAATAGCTCAGCTTTTTCCTCTTTCAGTAGTTTCTAATCCTGAAACACTGTTTAACTGCTGAAACGTTCTTTATTTCCTCTACTCAGTTATCCAACCCAATTATCTTGTTGATTGTATCCATTAGTTTTTTCCATCTTTGCCACACATGTTTTAAATGCTGTAGTTTCAAGATTTAAAAACGTTATGGAAATCTCCTCCAACAATACAACATAAATATATATAGGAGATAAAACAATAAAACACATTTAAAAGACAATGAAAATAGTGCAAGAAGAAACGGAGTAGAAATAAAATAGTGCAAGATTTTGTTGTAAGACCAATGTGCAGGTAATGCAGAAACAATGTAAACTATATACATGTCAAAAAAGATACAATAAGCTAAATGTTGCAGAGAATGTTGTCAGTGAGCAAGTTGATGCAGGAGTCTATTAGGGATGCCAGCGATTATTCGATTTTTCGAATATTCGTTACAGTCTCCATAATAGAAAATTATTTTTAACATTCGATTTTATTTATATATATTTTTATTATTATTTATGTTTTTCTTTTTTTTCCTGGCTTAGTTTCAACCAAAATATAGACTAATGCTAATAATAGTAATAGTATTAATAATTGTAAATGGCCATTGGTCACACCACCAGTTTGCGGCGAATAATCGATTAATATTCGCCAGGGCTGTCCGATTTTCGAATTTGATCATGGTCAGTTTCTGGCATCCCTAGAGTCTATATACATGTACATAGAAAAGGAAAAACTGAACCGAATTTCAAATGAAACGCTGTACAGTGAAATAGTATACTTTTTATTGTAGTAATGTTATAAATGTATTATACAAAATAAAGCACATTCATTTATGTATTCAAACATGTTCTCTCTCTCTCCATCAGAGGCCCTCTCCAAGAAGAAGCAACAGCCCCGACAAATTCAAACGTCCAACGCCCCCCCCCCTCCCCCAACACGCACTCGGGGGCCCAGCAGGCTCAGCCCCAGCTCCCCCCCCCGGCTCAGCCCATGGTCCAGTCCATGTCCTCCCCGGCAGCTATGTCGCAGCACGCAGCACAGCAGCCTCCCTCCCAGCCTTAATGCAACACACGGTTTCTTTCCACTGAATGCCACGACGCTACCGCAAAAGCAGCTTCCATCATTACCAGCTCTGGAAGTCAAGTTTCTTACTCTCTACCAACTCCATAAAAGAAGCCGCTTCAAAAGTTTTAGAGGGGAAACAAGATGGCGGCTCACGCTCGGTGAAGCTAGCCACCTGCCAAATCCACACGTGGCGTCACTTAACTACTCTTAAAAAGGAATGGATGGACTGAAAAATAATCGCTTCTGGGATTTGTAGGCCAATTATTTGTTCCACCTTATGTCTTGTACATGTTTTCTTTTTTTCATTTGCTTGGGACTTTAGCTGGTTGGAATTGATGTTGTGGCGCTTCTAAGATAGCACAAACAGCACATAAAGTACGTTTCATGGTTGTGTTTACCGATAGGTTGGATGTATGGAAAGAGAAATGGACGAACTGATAGATGGATGTGGTCGATTCTTTTCATGCCTATAATATGACACTTGATTGCAGTTATGTACTCCACTCCAGCTCACCCCCTCTGTCTCTGCAGCAGTGTCCTCACCCCGGCCCTGAGCTGAATGGCTTTAATTAGGTTTAAAGGTGACATAGAGGAATGCTTGGAGTTTCTCCGTTATTGGGCATTGATCAAACCAATGTTGTTTTAGTTTCTGAAAGCATTCAAGACTCTGCTGCTCTTCAGTTAAAAAAAGAAAAGAAAAACAGTAAAATGGACACTGGTACATCAACCACAGATAAATGTCTCCTTCAAAGGTGTTTAAAAATGTAGTCTGAGGTGTTACAACATAGTCATGTACTCAGTCTCTCTCTCTCTTTCTCTCTCTCTGGTGTATTTCTGAAAGCTTCTATCATCCTTGTGGATATTCCTCATCAGAAAAAGGAAAAAAACATAATGCTCTTTACACTAAATATACATACTGCTACGACATTCTAAATGAATGGTACTGTTGAACTAAATTTCTATGTATGATTAAAGCTCTTGAGATGATGACCTCTGTCTTGTTGTCAGTTGTTTTAATAGCATTGTGTGGGTTAAGATCCACATTTTTAGTCTCTTTATCCTGCCAAACCCCAACAGTAATTCAAAGGGAAAATGTTTGTGCCTTTTTAAATAAATCTGCACCATCAAAGCTCACCCAGGCATAATGGCAGAACTATGCGTTTCTCATATTACACAGACGCCTCCGGCTTCTCTACACTTCACCACTAAGATTGAATGTTTTATTATTATCATGACTCAGTTTACTGCTGGGGTTTTTGACAATGTACTGTCTGAATGATTTATACAGTTGTTGGTGTTTTGAATGTTCAGAAACCTGTTGTGCAAGAGTGCGGCCTCAGTAAAGCCACCATTGTTTTGTAAATGTCCTATCATTATGTATCAGTGACACAAACGAGCCAAATAAAATGTAAAAGTAGTCGTTACCTGAAGGCAATTCTCAATTCTCTTGCCCCACTCCCCCTTCAATGCTTTGGCCATATGAATTGCTACAATGTGTACGCACACATTTTCGCATATCATTAAGTTGTTTCTGCAAATGTTTTGATGAGCCACAAATTTCATATAGGACTTTATTTCTAAATGTTAAATGTGATATTTGGCTTTTTTCCTTTCTTTAAGCCAGGATCCCAAGAAGTTGCCTACTCTCTATTGTCAGTATGTGGAGAACGTGTTGCACCGCATACCCTTTTTTGTGACATGTTGTTGTGCCAATCATAAAAACAATACATTGGAGGCCCTCGTTTGCTTTTTTGGGGTCTTCCCTTCCCTGTGGTGCGTTTGTATAGGTTTTTGTGGATGTAAATGGTCTGCAAAGGCAAAAATTACGCCATAAAGAGTTTCTCTCCCACCTGCCTCAAACACCCTGCTCTGACTCTTTTGTTTACGTGACATCACTATTTTACTCTCGCGTTTCTATTGGCTAGCGGTCCGACACATTGTACGTGATTTGCCAAGGGCGCTCGACTTTTCCTACACATCTCTAAGCAGTTGACTGATCACAACAGAGCCGGCCAGCTAACCAATCAGAGCAGACTGGGCTCTCGTTTCAGACAGAGGGTGAAAAAAGGTGCTGCAGGCAGTATGAGAGAAATGAAGCACTTATTGAACATTAAAGCATGTAAATGTCAGAGTAGAGGCACACTATAAATATGAATCTGACAATAGCATTATGTCATCTTTAAGATTAAATAATGAATCACTGGGTATGCTTACAAAAACATGTTTCTGTGCCAGTATGTAACTTCCATTTCCTCGTTGGCGTGGTTCACACCGGTTCTAACCGGCTGATGAGTGTTTTCCATATATCAATCATTCCAGGATCATTTAACATGGTAAACGTTTGTAATGTGGGGGCAATAACCTGTGGTAAAGATGACAGCCTGGGCAACACATTAGGCGTCCATTAGGGCTCTGTAGGTAACTGTAGCTCATTCACAGGAAACCAAATATACACCCCATCATGACATGAGTATATCTTTGTCCAAAGACTTGCTGAGCGTTCCCTGTGATTTTCTCCCACGTCGCAGTGCTCTCTTGCTGCTGAAGTCAGCAACCTGAACTAATCCAAGCAGGAATCTGGGCTGGAGACTCAGGGTGGCCCTGCTGGGTGCTAAAGGGGCCTTTGACCCTTTGCAGCTTTATGGTGCTCAGCGGCCGTAACCAAGAGACATTTATCCAGACTGCAGGGTGGCTCTGTATGTTAACGCCTGCCAAGCCTCTCACCGAGAAGAACAGCAGGCTGCTGCTCCTCCCGTGTCAGAGAAAACACTTTAAAATAGCAAAATATCACATCAGCTTATGTAAAACTGTAGGACTGAAGGAATAATGTGAGCTCTGCAGCGATGTAGGCAATATATATATGTGTGTGTTGGCAATATGTTCTTACAAAAATTATGTTTCACATTTGCTCAATAAATTGTTATTGTGACATAAGATTTTGAAACATCAGATTTCACAAAGAGAAAAATGAAAACAAAGTATTATGATGAATACCAAACTGCTGGTACCAGTGATGCCATGTTTTTGTAATAGTTCATCCATATTAGAAAAAAGTGAATAAGTAATTACGTTGTTTTTGATCTTCTCGATGAGGCGCATGATATCACAAGGTTCATGTTTTTTATTAAATCTGATTGCAACAAATTGCATTTCTCATGCCCCTTTAAATGACAAAGGATTGAGATAGAAATAATCAATTTTGTCTGACTTGACCAATACTGCTTCTGTGTTCTTAAGTTGATAGGAAGACAATGCTTCCCTCCAGGAAGTGACAAGGATGGGAAATAACTGATAAAACTGTTATTCCAGACAGCCTAGATAAAGGCCAATAATGATATAGGTCGACAGTGTTCTCCACCCTTGCAGTGGAAGCACTAGTAATATCAAAATGGTTATTTCAAAAAGGGTGCTGATCCAAATGATTTTCTCCAGCGTTATACTTGCACGTTATTCTTGTGCTTTGTGCCATCGCAGTGTTGAGATGCTGAATCGGTTTTGTATGTAAGGCAGTAACAAAAAAGATAAAACAATGTGGCTTTGCAAAGCTTCCACCATATCACTGTTATTATTATAGTGTGGCACCAGTGTGAAAATGTATATATATCTATATGTATATACATATATCAATAAATGTATCGAATAGCTTATGCAAGCATGTGAAATTCAGTACCAACATTGATTGTGTTCCTAGTGTGTCATTCCTGTTCTCACTCCCAACCCTCCCTCACATCCAACACATTGTCCCCCACATGCACTACATCTGGTTGAGACTGGTTTAGGGTGACATGTCAACGCTATGCCAGTGTAGGGTACAATTAACTGTGCCTCCCTTGTTCTTTTTCCACATCATTTTTCCGGCAGGAGGGGATTATGAAGCCTAAATCTGTTCTGTAAGACCCTTCCTGGCAGCAGACCTCAACTATGGGAAAAAGCATCAAAGTTCCTGAAGAATTTAACGTGCATTGAGTGTTAAAACCCGTTTGAACTGCTCTCTTCATCCCCCCCCTGTTCTTTTTTTCTGCCCCTCTTCTTTCATCTTTCATCTTTGAGTTCCTCTTTCCTGCCCTACTTGACTTTTTTCCTTCTGACTTGGTTCCACTGTGTTTCTGACCTGAGGTTATGAGAATGGGTGCAATCACATGATGATATAACTTTATGATGCTGCTGCAGCAATGTGACCAAGGCGCTTTCGGCTCTTAACCAATCAGTATGAATGCAAGATGTGTTATACAATTAAAGCTATTCTCTCAGGGTGTAGGTTTATAATTCCCAGAATAATACCCAGAACCCTAAGTATATCCTTTCGTCATCCATCCTCTCTTGTATACCCTCAAGTTATTTTTAACTCTTAGTAGCGTATTAGACTCTCAACATGTTGCTTCCTATTTCTGGACCACTCTCCTATTCAATAAGACTTGATCAACCTCTTGTTAGGTTTTAGTGCTTTGTGATTTCATTCGTTTGTGCGTTTTTCCTTTAATCAGTGCTCACCAGGAAGAGGACTCCAGGCAGTGTCCCAGGGGCCTCACCTTGCGGAGGGTGCCTCAACTGAGCCCCCCCCCCCCGCCGACGCTCGCCTCATCATATAACTTTGCGTGGGGCCTCATGTTGGCCAGGGACGGCCCTGCCTGCTGGTGCACTGTAGAGCTGTTATTACATCCATCAACCGGTTCAGACTGGACTCCTGGCAGTAAAAACAATGTTCCTGGAAAGAAGTATCCCATTGGCCTACCAGCCCCCATCGTCAGTACCCATGAACCCTATATGATTTTTAGACTGAATTATTATTTTAACTTTTTCTTTTTTAAGTGCTTTATTATAAGAATCTGAGTTGGTCCGGAAACCTACAGGTAAACAGTTGTTGTTGTTGTTAATTCATGTGTCTGTACGTGTGCATTTATTCTGATACGCAACATTTCCGATGTAGTTTGGAGAAAACAACAAGTCCTCAGTCTGAGCCATAAACACATGCAGCTGTGCGGTGCGCTCCTCGCGCGCGAGAGGAAGCAGCGCCTTTCCTCCTCGAGCTGCGTTTTAGAGCGGCTGTAGGACCAGCAAGAACAGCTTTGAACCGGTTTTGTCGCCGCTACAAAGCACAGGAAAGGATGAACCCTGCGCCTTATTGAAGCAGAGTTCTGACTTGACACGCGGCTATCAAATATCCCAGCTCTGCAGCATCCGCGTGCTTGGTTATGTCTTTTGTAGTTATTTTGTAAGAAGGGATTTTATTGGCGAAACCATCCTACATGGAAAGTTCCCGCAGAGCGCGCGGCTCTGCAGGGTCCTGCTGCTGTTATTGTAGATGCTGAGGTGAGTGCCGCATGTGTTTTTATAACAAGAATAACAAGCAATGTGTGCCTGGGTTTGTATCGAAGTAATAAGATAACATATGGTCAGAAACTACGGTTATTGTTGTTAGGGAATAGAGAAGATGTCATGAATTTAAAGAAGACCTACAATCATTTTCATCGGGATATTGTTGTCTTTTAATTGTAATGAAAAGTTACCTGTTTACTGTCAACATGCTGTAAACCTGCTGTGTAAGCAAACACATCTGAAAGGAGCTTTGCATTAACCCCACATAAGGAAGTCTCAATTGTAAACAAAGTGTGACCAACAGGAGTTGATGTTGCTGCAGTGATGTCTGAAGTTGCTCTGGGCTACAAATTATTTATGAGAGAGCTCTAAAACATCAGTCAGCACAGTGGAGTCTCTCTTTAAGGGTCAACGCTCACTCATGGAGGAGGCAGGTTAAAGGTGCAGGAGGGGGGCTCGAAGCAGTGCAGCTTTCTTTACTTTCTCCTCCTCCAAGGTGTGGTTATAGAGACAGGAACAAAAGGGCCAGTTGTCTGTGGGTAACTTTCAGTCAGTCAGTGTTCAGGACCTCACAGGTGACTAGCCTGTTCGCAGAGGCTAACTGCTTCAGCAGCCTTTACTACATCAAGGCTACACGTAAGTGTACACTTTTGAGGTCCGGTATAAACACTGTTGCTGATTATTAAAAAAATAATAATTTTCCTTTCAATTTTACAAATGGAATGTTTGTTGTTATGTCATCCACAGGACCCCCTTCTCTGCCTAAGCTGTAGCAGACCCCAGGGGGCAGCAGAAACATCAGTGTCATGGCTTCTTCTACTGATGTGCTGGACGGAGGCTGGGGATGGGCAATTGTTTGCGCGTCTTTCATGGCCCAGCTCCTGGCCTATGGATCACCCCAGTCCGTGGGCGTCCTTTACCCCGAGTGGCTGAATGCCTTCCAGGAGGGCAAAGGCATGACGGCCTGGGTGGGCTCCCTGGTGTCCGGAGTGGGGCTAATAGCAAGTGAGTAGTGAACTTTGTAATAATGCAATGATCCTCACCATGGGCCAACATAGGGTTAAAGAGACAAAACTTAATGTCAGTTTAATTAGATTATCAAGAGTAATGTCATGTTACAGCGTCCTTTCACAGAGATAGAGCCAAATGGGGAAAAAATGTAAAAATCTTTCAGCACTATTTTTCCTTCTGATGATTGTTTCTGGCATTTGCTAATTACATGCTCAGCAGTAAATTGGTGTTTTGGCATGACTAACACTTATGGGCAGGGCCGGTTCTAGCCAATTTGATGCCCTGTAAGATTTTAGCTGGCGATTTTTTTGAACATTTTAAAGTAAAATGCTTCAATCTGGTGCACTTTCAGCACACAATTAGAGACTAGATCTTTTTCATATGGGTGTTTTAGAGTTGTACCCCCA